AATTTTACATCATCCAGAATTTAATACATTTACCATGGACATCCAGAGTGTATAACAAAATCCTTAATAAGGTCTTTAAGGAATCAAACAAGGACTTGGTGGTTAAAATGAACCACGCTATAACAATGATTTCAGCAAACACACAATTCTTGCCATGTGTTAAATTACAGAAACTTGTATTGGAAGTTTAAAGTTGCTGAAAATGTGTTCTACATTACTGTTCAACTTTTTTCATTTTGGTTTTATAGCAGCCAGCAGCACTGAATTTGGTAGCTACCTTTCCCAATAAAAGCAAACAACCTAGTAATTTCCATGTGAAGTAGACTTAAAAAAAAATCTGCTTATAGGATGTCGACGAACACATGAGCTTTGTTCAGAGAAAATGTCCTTGTTGGTCATTCTTAAATGCACAGGCTGGTTTTGAAAACATGTTCCTTCAGACTTACCCAACTTAAAAATGGAGGTGAGAGATGGGGTGGGGGCAAAACTAAGGGTCTTGCAGTATTTTTTTAAAAAATTAACCCTGATCCACCTTCTCTATCAAAACCCCAAGTTACATCATGGTTAAATTAAAAAATATATACGGACAGCTTGTGATTGACAGTTAATCAGATCCATGACTGAGATTTATTGTGGTGCATCTGCTGGCACCGTACAGCACATCCAGGCACTACCAGTTCTTCCCTTTCTTCTTCTTCTGCTGCGGTTTCTTCCTAGTGGCTCCAGACGCTGCTGGCTTCTGCTGTCTGGGGGGAACCATGTTGGTCGAAGAGGCTGACGTAGCACCAGAACCAGGCCTTGGTGAGGTGGGGGGGCTGCTCGCAGATTTACTAGCATCCCTGAGGAAAACAGGATCATTATTTTATGCTAATAACCATTTTATCCAACTTTGATTGAACTACATGTACCAAAGTGCACTTGCTTTACACAAATTACCAAATGCTCACAACTAAAACACATAGTAGCTAATTACTATTTTGGGTGGGATGTCATATCCCTTATGCTCAGAGGTTTCTTTTACAAGACTATCCTATATTTCCCTAAGCCTGAAGTCAGCAGCCATGCACTTACATTCACACACCTTTGACAAGTCGAAAGGTCAGATTTTCTCATTTCTCAGTCATTTCCTGATTTTAATTATATGCAGAAAACAATGCCTGAGAAAATACCTTGACATTCAAGTTGACCTAATCTGTGCTGTAATGCACGTTTTTTTCCGAACTTTGTCTTATGCCTAAAGCACCAAAAGTAACATTCCTATATGGGAACGATGGGTTCCTCTGATTATATCACCATCTGAATGATTGAACATATTCGGTTTCAGCTATCAGGGGTAACCTCGATCTCTTTTCTCTTCTAGTTATGGTTTTACGGATATGAATATAAAAGTGCACTTTGCACTACTTCTGTTATGCTTCCTTCAAATAGTGCCATTATGAGATGAAACTTATAGACTTTTTTAAAGCTTTTGAAAATTCTGCTGAAGACAAATGTTTATATTTACACAATACAATTTAAACTCATTTTCACTGTTTTGATACTGAAAAGCTATGTATTTTACAAAACACAGCAGTAACAGAGAGCTGCAGGTATTCTTCAAGTTTGGCTTCACTGTTTGCCACTTATGGGATCTTGTACATCCTAGACTGGTGCCTTCAACACCAGTTCAACCTGAAACAAGTCCTCAACTTTAATCCTTAGCTGAAGTTTGAAAATTCCATGCAAATTATATCTGAGCAGTAATGCAGATCATGTTTATGGATCTAAAGATGCACACTGTGAGCTCTATTTTGATCTTAAAAGTATGATAAAGACGTTTATAGGTCATCCTGTATTTGTTATCTGAAATATGACCACCTATGGATATTTATGCTGAAAAACATTTTACTAAAGGAAACAGCAGGTTTTTAAGAGGGTATTTGAATACTCACAGTTCAGCCAGGCCTCCAGATGTTGCCCCCTGTGTTCCTTTGCCCACTTGCTCCTTCTTCTTGCCCTTCTTCCTGCCACGGTAGTAGGAGCGTTCTCTCATTGGCAGCCACCGCTCTGGGTCAGGAGCCACTTTGGGGTCATAGTTCTTTGGCATTTTACCTAAAGATGTTAAAAGTAAACACGATGTTATGTTTTGAACAGTGATCTAAATTAATCAGAGGTTATAAATGTCTGAATCTGACCTGCTAGGAGTTCTTTAATAACTAATAAGGTTTTATCCATTAGACAGTCATACCAGCTTTCATGAAATCCCTGTAACTGCTCACAAAACAACGTACTCTGCATAGTCTTTTTGTTACATACCGCTAAACCACCCCATACAACAAGGAAGCCTCCTGCTACATTCTTTCACAAGTAAACCTCTCTGCTCTACTTGGACAGTGCTCAGTCCAGACGTTACTGCTGTCTGCCTATAGCTATTAGCTCTGCTGAAAAACTGTATGATTAAATACAGTATATATTGTTCTTTACAATATTAAATCCATTTAGAGATGTTAGTGATCTCCAAATAAGATTTTTTAATCAATGAGCAACATGTGGACCCTAATGGAACATTTTCTAACTTTTTAATCTTCATATAATTATGTATATTGATAGAGACTGGGTGCTTATAAAATCACTTACCCTTCTTTTTCTTCTTTTTTTTCTTCATATCCCCTTGCCTGTGAAACAAATATTTAATTGTAAGTCTCATATTAATTATTTTGTATTCTTATGACATAAAATGCACTTAAAAAACTCCAATGTAATCAAATTGCAGTTTAATTGCAGTTGCATATGCTGTAAGGGAGATAAATTCATTTTTACCCTTGTTCTTTGGGCAGAGTATCCCCAGTCACCTTTGCAGCCTTCTTTCTAATATAAGTGGCTCCATGCGAGTTCTCCAGCTCATCCACGTCCACATTAAAAGACATGGTGTCTGGGGATGGGAGGTGTTTGCTGAGACTGAGGAATGCTGTTAAGGAAGGATCACACAAGAAAAGTGCCATCTAGTTTAACTCAGGGCAAACTGGAGTGAGCACAAACACCAAAGCTGAGCAGCTCGAGGGTGTGTTAAACGTTTTAAATAGTGCCATGTTCAAATGTATCTAAAAAACTTTACAGAAAAGTGTGGCACACTGTTAACCTAGTTTAATTTAATTTGTAAGAGCTTAACACTTATTCTTTCACATCATATACTTTTGCTATGAACTAGCCATGTAAATTCAATTAATATTGTTACGTTTGCTTGGAACTTACAATTATCACATATTGGGCTTGCAGTACATTAGTTTTTTTCATTGCAATATTTCACATATAGCACATTTAGGCTGAATATTACAACACCACTGAATACCACATTAAGAGAAATAATTACTTAAATGAGGTTATGTTATCTGAGAATCTAAATTAAAATCCACATGAAATATTAAAAGTAGACAAATTAGTTGTTGAGCCCATTTGTTACATATCGTGGATGTTTGCAGGGTTCAGGGCAGCCAAATAAGTTCAAATATTACCAAAGTACACTCATGTTATTTTACTAAATAATCACAACTGTTACCGTAGTTAATTATGTAGCAAAATAGTATTATGACAGACTTTTTAAAGAAAATTCAACAAAACCAATGTGAAAATATCAATACACAATTTCAAATTATTTTTTTATTAACAAAGATATATGTGAAATTAACAGTGGAATAATAAAACAGCAACATGGCATCAAATAGTATTTACCTACTCTGGGGTATATCTATTCACAGCTGAAGAAAATTATGCATTTATCTTTTAGAAAGTACACCCATCTTAAAAATGTTTTATTACAAATTCGATATAATCTGGAAATTAATACAGCCATCTGAAATAACCAGCAAAATACATTCTGAACATGTAGCCCTTAAACCCATGCATAGCATGAAGGCTCTATACATTTAGTTTTAAAGATTCTTATTTTGTCTCACTGGGCATAAAGGTATAGGGAATTAAATTACCAAATCACCTGGGGAATCTTGAATCGACTAATTTCACTGAAATGATTAGTTCAAAACAATAATTTGTGAAGCTGTTTATTCCTTAATACCCTGCATAGCCTAGTATGTTTTGTGACAAGAACCTTCAAAGTTACTGAGCAGCCTTGCATGTGCGCAGTTTAGAGAGAACACAGCGGTAAAGAAGGTGTTGTTTCAAAATAAATGGTTTGGGGGTCATATGCTTTAATACCGTACAAATGCCTTTCCTGCATTTAAAGTTGCAGCCACAAGAAAAACTAAATCAAATCTGTCCTTCCTGCAGACCTCTACAAATGTTCATGTACAGTAAATGAAACTTTGCATTACCTATGTCAGTTATTATGAAAGATTAACATTAATTCAGTTTACATCTGAATGATCTGCCACCACAATAGCAGCAGTTCCCTATGGGGTGGAACTGCCATAAGAACAGTGACAAATGAGGGGAAGCCATTAGGCCATGTAGCCTGTTTGGCAACAAGCAGCTAATCGCAGGATGTCATCCAACCATTTCTTAAGGACACCAATAGTTTTGAATAAAGGATACGATTTTGCTTTTTCTTGATCCACCAATGAATAAGCAGAGATAAGCTGTGCCAATGTATGTATATCATTCTTGTTCTGCCTGGAAAAAAAATGGTTTATAGGTTAAAGAAGGACTTTACAAACAACATAAAAAAAGGACAACTGTTTATTGCTTCACCTTTAGGGGAAATTGGAGAACAACCTTCATTTAACTTGGAAGCCACATATTCCTCAGGTCAGATTTCAGGATTCGGTATGAGCAAGAAAAATCTTAGACAGGGGGAATTCTTGAAAAGTGGCTGCTCTTCTGAAAAGTACTGTGTAATACTGAACATCTCATCTGAAACATTAAACATCCCACTGCATAGTGGTCCCTGTGACCACACAAGGACATTCATTTGAAATTTTCAGGTCCTGAGGAAGAGTGGTCTCTTCATTTACTAGCACCTGCTCCAACTTGATTTTTTATATCTACAATCGAAGTACTAACAAGATTCTACCTTACTTAGTTTCTGAATTTTCTTTAGTTTAAGCTCCACATGGATAGACCTGCTGGCAACTTTATAGGAGACCTAAGCGTCCCATGTATCTAACAGTGGATGCAATACTCTTTCCTACTATGATTAATTGAATGTATCCCTATATCAAATGTACTCCTTATGATTAAAAACTGTGGAGTTGATTTGTTAAACATGAAACAAAGCGCACAAAACAATTGCCACTTTGACCAGAATTTGATAAAACAGAAAATGCAGTATAACACCCTTAACTTTAGGATTTATGTCACCTAATTTACGCATTGTCTACCAGACCTACTCCTGGAAAGCCCCAAACCAGCAGTTTTTATATTCAATCATTCAATTATGGAATAATTTGTGATCAATTGCTAGTCATTTGTTTAACAATGTAATCTAAAAGTCATTTGGAACAGAATTTTCATGCATCAAGAACCAGAATTTCCTTAATTGGACAAATTACCTGCATAATTAACCAATATCTTTTAAGTGTTCCCAATCTTTAAAAACAGGTGAATTCGAGTGGCCTATAAACCTGTATGGTGAACCCTGAGCTAAACTATAAAGAATGTCTGCAATTTATAAGACTTACTGAAATAAAATACAGAAAACAAACTGCATTCACACACCAAAAGAAACAAAATGACTAAAGTACACATACTTCCACAGCTGTTCCAGATCACTTATAGCCTCTTTCTTCCTTCCATATTTCAGCTTAAAGTTCGCTGCTTCTCGTACAAGTGCTAAATGACCAGATGAACCAGGCTGAAAAGGATGATAAAGAAAAAAAAAGTTTCATCTTCTTGGCAGATTCTGCAGAAACCAGTATTAAATACTTACTGGGACAGATGTTGTAATAAGACATTTAATTTTATCCAATGAAATCTAACAAAAGCATTACATCCATGCTTCAGTAAAATATGGAAGATGATCTCTTTGATACTTTAGAGCTAATTTGAAAATGTATATGCATCCAATGATCAGCATCCTCATAAAATGATGTTTGTATCTGCAACATAATTACTATATACCATTTATAATTAGGCAACATACCTGTTGCTTCTGGTAGTACTGAATAGCTTGGCCAAAGACATCAATGGCGCTATCTAGGTCTTCTTCGTGAGTGTACATGGTAACCAATGCTGAAATCTATAAAAGAAAAGTTATCAAACAATAGCTGATATGGAACTCAACACAAAGCAATTCCCACAATGTTGAGTGGGAAATTTCATATTTTACACTAGAAAACACTTTACTGTTATCTATACACTACATCACAGAAATATTTGTTTCCACCTCTAATGGACAATAGTACAGCCTTACACAACACAAAAATGCTCCAACAAACAATTTGTCATTTTCAAATCAATAACAAGAGAACATAATAAACGTTATAAATTTGAAGGAGACTTAAGAATCACCAAAGACGTTCAGGTACAATTTAATTTTTTGTTAACCCAGCCTGTTTAGAAATCATCATTATTTGGAAATAATTCCAAATAATAATAATTTTGAAATTATCAGTTGTTTATCTGCTCAGATTTTTGAGTACCACCACTCCTTTGCTGCACAAAGAGAATAATGGCCTGTGAATGTTTTCCTAGGACTTGCCCACCTCTCAGAGGTGTAATTCGACACTGCAAACTCCGGATTGCCACATAGGAGGGTGGAGAAGCATCACATCTTTCCCGATGTCGCTGTTAGGCAATGATGCAATGGGAATTTTCCCCCTTTATTGTACCATTAGCAACATAAAATTGTTATATTATAGATATTCACATCTGATTTATGGATTGTTTAATAACATAACTGTGTAAGCCAGATAAATACCTACTAAGGCTGTCTTTAACATATACAGTACAGCAACAAGGCTATAATTATGTTAATATGAAGTATAAGCATCTTTCAGTTACAACAAACTGAACTGTCGAACTCCTTTGACTCAGATTCATAGGAATTCTGCAGAGATAGGACTGTAAGCAGAGTGTACGTGCTCTCTAACACAAACCAGGCCACCATAAACTGGGCTCATCCTGACACCTCAGATGTGGAGAGCCTCTCAGTCTTTATCTCCAAGAGGTAGGCACCCTCTTTACCTCAAGGTGGGGATTCAGAATCAAGCTGGAGATCACCTGTCATTAATCCACTGATAGGGCTAGAGTAACTCTCCAATAAGGAACACATCCTATACCAGATGACTTCCAATCATCACCCTAAAAAGGTGCAACCTTAAAAGCAGTTTGCAAGCTATCTGGAACCCTGGCAACTGAAAGCGATCATGTGATTGTGACCACCATTGCCCGAATCACAATTTTGAAATAAAAGGTTATTTTTTTACAAACTAGTACATTTTAAATATTAAATCAGAAATGTATATAAAAATATGTACTTACAGGGTACAATACTCAACTTGTTTATGAACTATAATGACCAGTGACTTCTTTAAGATTAGGTGGATGAAATATGGCTATGCCCTCCAAATCCAAGGCAACAAATCAATCAATGCATCAATGGGCAAAAAAAACTATATATCAATTTGAAACAATTGTCTTAAGTATCCCTCTTTACTGCAATGTGGATCTTTAATGTGACATTTTGACATCACTGCTGAAATGTTCTCGTATTCTTGATTAATATATAAAAAATAAGAATTTCATAGTTCTATAATCAAAATACTTACCATGCCTTGCTTGTATTTAATTTCCTCTATTGATCGCAAAATATCACAGGCTTTAGTAACATGACCTTTAGGGTGACAAAAGTAAAATAGTTAAGAAAACCCCTGATGTGATGTGAGTTAATAATAATTACAGTAACTTCTTGAGATAAGGGACTAATAGGTGGGAAGAGTTATCCATTAAATAACCATTGATGGTTTTTCAGCCCCCAAACAAGCTGTTACATGAAATGTGTACTATATATATGCTTTCTTGTTATGTAGATATATGACAGCACGGTGAATTAATATATTACTGTACTATACTGTTTATATTAACACACCATTGTATTAAAGTACACTATATTTTTATTTTACCAGACTAACAGGGGAAAAGGGTGTTAGTTATTGCCAGCTTTCCGTTAAATTACTAAGGAGAATGTATAGCTAAAACAATTTAGAATTAAACCAAGCTTTTTTTGGAATGGCAATAGACTACTGGATGCTAGTTCATTACAGCCTTTAGGATCCTTGGTGTCCAAAATCTGCCGACAGCTAAGGGTGTCAATCTGTATAAGCCATCAGCATTTGCACACAGTAATTTTGAGGTCCTTTCCTTGCTAATTTTATGTCCTGAGAGCAAACAGCCAAGTCTCACTGGCATTGTCCAGCTGGGATAATATGACGTCTTAATCATGAATTTATTAAATTTCTTATGGACCTGCTCCATCTCTTCAGTGGGTGCAGTCAAAGCTTCATCATAGGATCTTTTATTCACATTACAGTAACATTTACAAAATCACTAAAGCCACCCATCAGTGCATTTAAAATTAAATGTCATGTGTTTGACCACCATAATGGATGCTGTTTGCAATTCAGAAAACAGATGTTTCTTTTGCGGACAGCAGTCTGTCCATTTAATCCAGTCTGTTAAAGCAAGGGTCTACTGTACTTGATTTAAATAATATTTACCACAATCAGTAGTAGCTTCTCTGCTTATTGGTAATCAGGTGTGTTTTAACAGGAGTAAAGCTAAGTGAAACAATAACCTCTTTAAAGCAGTTTTTCAAGTTGATTTGGAAGACAAGCATTCCAGTTCATGGACAATTAAAAATAATTTCACGGTAATAATACAGTTGAATCAATTGAATTTTTTCACAAGTGTCTAATTTATAAACTGGTCATGGGTAATTTCTTCACTGCTAAATTATCTCAAATTAGCAAACTTATTCCCAGGGAAACTGATTCATGCAAATATAGTCAGCACATTGCTTCAAAAGTATAATTATGCAAGTATAATTAGTATGATTTGTGTACTCTTCAAACAACTAATGTGCACTGATAGAAATAAAACTGGGTTTCTTGGTGACTTTCAAGCAGACGGGCTACCTTGAATCAAATACAGCTGCGCCATTGTTAGTTTGATTTCTGAAGCACTTTCAGGGTACTGTTCTGAGAAACGCTAAATGGGGAAAAATAAATATATAATCAATATATACCAAAAGTAATTAAAAATGCAATAACTACTGGCTTTACCACTGATTTGTTGAGTTATAATGCCTCCTTGTACATTAATAAAACAACAATGCTCACAGAAATCTTATATGCCTTTATTTACATCTGCAGTTATCAATGAGCAGATGACAGGATCACAACATTTTTATCCTGTAAAGCCTTAGGAAAAAAATATGCTTTGTCTGTGCTATAATTGAAGAAAAAGACAATGCAAATGAACAGGTCAAAGTCCCAGTATAATAGTTCGATAACACGTGTCCTTGTGCTGAATAGAATAAAAACTACATCTAACCGACACTTGATCTACAGCAAATCACACATATTCCCTTTTACGCAGCTGCACATTTTACTGATTTCAACTACCTTGGTTCAAGGATACTTGTGGCCCCATCCAACCTTCTACTTTTAATCACACTAACCATTACTTCGCACTGGTGCTCTAATAAAACCAAAATGTACCTGTAGCAGTTCTATTGCTTTTGAATGCTGTTTCTCTCTGCAGAGCTGAGCCACTTGAATTAGCACCGGCCGTGGGTGCCCTGGGTTCTGGGCCTGTAAACTTGAAGAAAGTTTACGGCATTGATCTGCCTGCATTAAGAAAATCAAAATTAAAAATGTTAAAGCTAAATGTTGTCAAAATTATCAAAATTACCATCAGCATATTCGTCAGCAGAATATTCTATTGTAACACCACTGAAGTGAATAAGACTTTACCTATACCGGAACAGTCATAAAACGAGAGTGATAACATGCCAAAACATTTAAACCACAGTATTATAGACATCCGCCGTTAATACTGAAACTATTAATGCAATAAAGTAAAAAGAACCTCCTGAGAGATTATGTGAAAAAGAGAACAGGATCTAGAGCAGTATGCTACAGATGTAAGTTAAAGAAAAAAAGTTAAAGAAAATTTAGAACATGTATAATACTGGTTTTCAATCTCTTAATTTCAGTTTTGGCAATGTCAGTCAGCAAGATGTGGATTGCAAAATACCTGATTGGTGTACATGGCTAGTAAAGCCTTATTGAGTTCAATAGCCTGCAGCTGTTTTGTTGCCAGCTTGTGCTCAACTCCTTCTGCATTTGTCAGTTTCACTTTCTTCTTGGAGTCAAACACATTTTGGTCCTGCATAAAAAAAATGTAAGTTACATGCAGTAATTCTGATTTGAGCAATTTTACTGCTGTCACTAATAGATCAGAAATACGAGTGTCATCATTGAAATGAAAAAACATTTACCTTATTAATTGTAATGATGTTGTTGGCGGTTACAGCCAGCAATCCCACATCTGCTGGCCTATAAAAACAACAAGCTTGGAATGAAATAAGTGTCTTTGACAAACAAAATGTATTGTATTTTAAATTAAACTACTCATGAATACAGATTTTATTATAATTTCCAACATTGAAACTGAAATCTCATTAAGGTCATCTCAGAATGAGAATCCTTTTTATAAAGGTTTGCATGTAGCTGTGGATTTCATAAAGACTTACTTTAATTTGATGACTTGATTGTATAGCTGCAATGCATCTTCAGTTCGCCCCTGTGACTGCATGATGTAAGCCATTTGTGAATGGATTACAGCCAACTCAGAATTAATGTCTTCTTCTGTCATATCCTGTTGACGAACATCAAAGTGGAAAAGATAGCATCACACTGCTTAAGAATCAACATATCAAAACAGTATATTTAGCAAAAAAGCACATTGTGTTAACTAAATAAAAACTATTCTGCAGACAGACCTCTTTGCTTTTCAAGTTGCAGAACATATGTATAACACAATGACTATATATTTAGCATTAACATTTTATTCAAACAGAACAGGTAACAGAACAGAACATTTTTATATACTTCTTTTTTTAAGATAAAATACTTCTACAACACTGTACCAGTGAGAAGGGAGGGCTCATTCATACGTAACATTTGGATACTGTGAATGTTTGGTCCACCTGGAGAGGTAGTCTTAGTCAGTATGGTGAACAAATTAGATGCACGATAGCGTGAAAAACAGCTGGATACATACCCTTAGTACAGCTAGAATACTTAAAAAGTAGAAGGTTTTATTTAGTTTGTTGAGACTGGGTTAATGAGTTTAGAACTGGGTTTCAAAGACTAATACTATCATAGAATGTTTTAGCAGTACAAGATATAATATTTTTCTCTAGAAATGCAAATAAATATGTATATACTAGTATACAAATTTATACAATTACTACTACTGTAAGTGATATAAATTTTAATGTTCAGATGCTGTATCCGTCTTAATTCTGAATTTTCTGTTATGAGTCAAACATTTAAACATACAAAGTGATATATGTAATGATATATTTAAGACTTGGCTGATAAAGTTATTCTCTCTAAGAGCATGCTGAACTCTACAGTTCACACATATGATACTGAAAGACAAGGCTTTCCTAGCCAATCCTAATTTCCACTAGAGTCTGCAAGCCACAGTGAGTAAACAGCAACTTGGGGCTGAACATGCAACCGTCGGGGTGTAGTTCCAACTTTTTCCAGGTAAATCACTCATTGCCAAAATGATTTAACCTGGCAGTAAAAGTGCAACTTGTTTAAAAGCCCCCAAAGTAAAAAAAATAGACAAAACAGAAAGAACCAGTTAAAAATATACTTACAGAATCCTCAGACAAAGACTGTCGACACAATTCTAAAAAACACAAAAAACAAGCCGTTTTAGATTTCAGTGATGCTCACAATTTAAAAAGAAAAGCAAACTGCATGAATACTCAGATCTTCCCCTCTCAAACCTGTACTATACCATTCCAAAATTGTGAATTTATTATAAGCACATAAAGCAATAGACAATGAAGCTACAAGTGTCTTAATAGATGAACACAAATGACTAATATTTAATCAGTAAAACAGTTTTTGTTTAATTTTTTAATTCATGTTATAGCACACCTATAATAATGCAGTACATAATATGGTTGAAACACTGTAATTGTCATTGACAAATTCAGAATTTGTGATGGACAAAGTTTCAACCTAGACAGCATATAAGAATTCATAAACATTTTTGCAACACTTAAGCTTACAGTGAAACACCTGTATTGTGATATAAATTGTGATATAAAAAGCATTCACTTTCACAGCAACTCTGTGACATTATGAAATGTATGTAACATTTGTCATCTCAGCTTGCTACCCATTTTTCATTTAAAATAAAGAATACAGAAAGAACTACTACAGAAATGTATTTTATGTGCATCTACCTAACAATATAGTAATCCTGCAGCGATATTCTTATGGTCACTTTGGTTTTATATACTGTATTGTATATCCTGTATTGCTATCCACCGGATAAAGTAGATTCATGCACATCGCTTCCTCTCATCTTACCTTCAGCTGCTCTGAGCTTGTTCATTGCTTCTGTGAGATCCCCTTGACCAATGAGAGTACAAGCGGAATTGTAACAGAGTTCGTAGGTGGTTTCTGGAAGGCCAAGGTCCTCCTGATAAAACAAGTTGTTTGAAACGCATGGTAACAACTTTGTTAAATTAAAATGTGCAATAGTTTTAGCCAAAACTATTCTGTAGACTAGCCTTATCTTAGTGAAGGAAACTTTGGCTTAAGTAGCATAGGATGTACCTGGCTTGTTTTTCATCAGTGACCTCTAGGACCTACTGCAATATTGTAAGCTTAAAGTTTTTGAAGAAAGTGAGGAATCATTTTTCCAAACTATGCTAATGCTACCGCAAAGCATTTTAGAGGTGGCAACATGTGAAACAGACAGCAAACACCTTGGAGATGTGTCTAGACAGGTGCTCATTTCCCACCATACAGGTTCAAAAATTAGAGCGGTGAGCTAATTTTACTACGATTCCAAATTCACAGGAATTCCATTCTATAGAAAGACAAAAAAAAAAGACATAACTGAAAGGGTATCTTCACATATTTAAAAATTGAACTTACAGGTGGGGATTTCTCCCAGCTGCTGAGAGCTGCGACAACAGCAGACAGGTTGGTTTTCCTCTCCTCCTCATACTCATCCTGAGAGTTTCTGATCAGGTCCTTGTAGACAGCCACGCATTCACTATAGCGCTCTAATCTGTATAACTGAACAAAACCATACCATTTCAACATCTGAAAGACTTTAAGAGTTACATTTGACTTTCAACAGTACATGGTCACCTTTGAGAATTATTTTGCAACAGAAAAATGTTAATCTTAAAGTTTCCCAAATACACCCAGAAAGGCAGGTGCATCAACAATTTAAGTTCTCTGACAATGTTCATTAACAAAACACTTGCTCTGTATGGACAGCAGAACTAACACTAGATTATAGATATATGGTATACTTCTTAAGTGATAACATCAATATAAGAAAACTCTGGTGAAGAGAAAATTAAGAATTACTGATTGATTATAATTGCCATATAAAATCTATTCTGTAATGCAAGAAAGTAGAAAAGTATTAATCTAGAGTGCCACCTACAGATCTAACAATTTAGTGTTGTAATTACCAACTACTCCCAAATTATACTGTATGTGCATCCACATATTTATGTAACCCTGTGCAGTTTCATCTTAACAAGATTTTAACAAAGCAAGCTCAAGTGTAGTCTCTGTTGCAGTATATGACTGATCTGCCTCAGCATAAGAATTAAAGACTATCGTTTGAGATTTTATTGACAATTATGAACCATACTAATACAGAACAAACTAGGAGGCATGTTCCCTTGCTAATAGCATAGCAGTTCTGAACCTCATGACTAGTATCAGCACCTCAGTGAATTCTGAGCTTTGCGCTTATAAAGATTAGAACAGTTACCACTTGGCCATAGAGTTCCTTCAGTTTATCACTCTGCTGGGTTGCACTTTCAATTGTCTTCAAGGCATTCTCTACCCTGTTCAGCCTGTACTCACAGTAAGCTTTTTCAAAAGCAATCACATCACTGCTGAAAAAAAAACACGAACAACAAAGACACTATGAAATATTAAAAAACATTTGGAAGTTTGATGCCTATGAAATATTATTTCAAGAGTTTGGTGTCAGTTTCTAGAATTTGAAGTCATTCAAAGTATAATGCAATATAATGTACAGTACAGTAATATACATAGAAAGAAGGGCATGAAATGTTCATTAGTACAGAATGCTAATTGAGCTGCAATGAGGATCTGTAATGATATTAAGGTTACATCACCTGCCAAGCACTTTTGTGTGAGTATGAATAACATTCAGCGCTTCCTTAAAGCTCCCATTCTGAATAAGGCATACAACTTTACAATGCAGAGCAGTGATGTCATCTTTACATTCCTGAAGAACTATTCAGAGAAAGAAAGGAATATTAGAATTTAAGCATAGGAAGATTCACTGTAGACACAGATTATTTTAACTTAACAAATACTGTTAAAACACACACAGAGATCAAATCTACTGAAAATTAATGCATCCCCAACCTTCTACATAATTGTAATGGTGCCTACACAAATTGCACACCCCAAAAAGCCTTCATATGCATTTATCTTTTGCTTAATAATTTAATACAAGGTCAAACAGAAAACGTTCTATTGGTAGTTATAAATGACATGCTAACAAGTATTTTATTTATCGTAGAATAATAAGAATAATAATGAATGTGGTAATGGTCAAGTCAATCGAAACAGACACCCTTAGTCTTGGTTCACTACAGGCACATTGCCCAGGCATTACCGTATGTTTAGACCACATGGTTAGTTTAGTTCCAGGTGTTATTTACCATTATTACTAACTTCCCAAACTGGTTCACATTTCTTGAGATGCAGTTAATAAAACTATTCTTTGTTTTACATTTTTCTTGATGTATACCCTAGTCTGGTTATTATTTGAACATTTATTAAGCCAAAGAGCTCTGTACAAAAACAAATAGAAGCAATCTTGCAATCACGAATATCAATACAATTTCGATTACAAATGCAGCATCGGCCTCAACAAAATACTCTTCATTATATTGCACCCTGTTCTTGTCACGTTTCTTCTTCAGGAACATTTTTCTCCCTGAGCGAATTTTTCTCTCACTCTCACGTTTTCTAACGCTTAAAATGTGCGATTTCTCTAATAGGCTGTTATCTCCAGATATTTTGGGATACACCTAATTCATAACGTTTTAACAATACAAACACTTACGTGAACATTAATCTACGTCAACATTAACGGACACACACAAAACGTGGTGACAACACAGAGCAATTAAAAGAATAAAAAAAGTCTAGAATACATTAATATTCCATATAGAAAACAAAATACCCTAATGTGAGAATTCGACAAACTGGGACACGTAACCATTACTACCACAGCCACAAGACACCTAAACTTAGGACATTAAAATGAAAATATACGTCCATATACAAAATTATTACTATACATTATACATTATAATGTTGTATCCTATTATCTTACATATATTAAACTTTTTTTTATTATTTTCACATTCCACGTTTACTATAAAAAGGAAACACATTGCCACTGAACGCGTTTCGCATTCATTAGCGGGTTTAGTGACCCTATCTATTCTGTAATCGCGTAAGCAATATAAAACATAATGAATCCATTACTTTTATTGACGGACTTTAGAGCTCGAGTATAATCCCCATTCTGTCCATAGCGATTAACTTCTGTCCAGAGCGTAGCTACAGAAACTCCACCACTCGCCATCTTCCCTTGCAAACTGCACATTCAGCAGAACGATCACGGAACAAACGGCACTATCGTTTCCGGGTTAAATATTACGTGTAGAATCAATCTCGTTGGATACTGTAGTTCTCACTGCCACATTTGCTGAAAGGGTTATAATAATAGCAAATTTTATTTTTCCCTTTTATATAACATGGAATAAACTTGTAGTACTCAAACAAAAACGACGACGCGTGTGAAATATAAGGTATATACAGTATATATATATCCTTTGAAATGGATATGTCAGTTCATATAACGATATCATGCTGGGTCCATACAGAAAGGTGCAGTAAAAAGCCACTGATGATTAACATGCCCGGAATAAAGCGTCTTATTAAAACTGTGCAAATGAGGAAATAATTATCTTGTTGAAAGTCATAATCTGAAAGTTTTGAATACCCCCTATCTATTGTCAGTTAAAAAGTAATGTTGTACCTATTTAGCCACTGAACCGCATACATTGTATTAACATGAAGTTCAGGTGGGTACCTGCGTCAGCATGCGTAGGCTGCAAAGGAACAATAGGTTTATTCCATGCTGAAAAGAGAAGAAAGAAAACACAACGTTTCATCTGTGGAGCCTTCTTCAGGTGTCACCTGAGTCATACCAACACATTATCTTTCTTCCAAGACTTGTGAAGAACACAGTAGATATTCCAGCAAAGGGCTGCAAGGTGTGATATTGTTCATGTTGTCCATTTTATTTAGCTACTTAAATTTGCAAGAAAAGGTTGTGAACCCTTTGGAATTACCTGGATCTTAAACTAAGTCACAATCTGCTTAAACTAATAACACACAATTGTACTTCTTCTTGTCAGTACTGAACACATCGTTTAAACATTCATGGTCCAGGCTGAAAAAAGTACGTGAACCCTTGTATTTAGTAACTGGTTGTGCAGCAGGTTGTGCAGTGATTAGCACTGCTGCCTTTTAATTTCTGGGATGCTACTGTATATGCATGGAGTTTGTATGTTCCCCAAGTATTTATGTGGGTTTCCTCCCATAGTCCAAAGACATAACTCTAGGTTAACTGGCCCCAATATTAGTTTGTGTATGCCTTACAATGGACTGTCAACCCGTCCAGGATGTATCCTGCCTTAAACCTGTTGCTCGCCAGGATAGGCTCTGGCTCCCCAATGACCCTGTATTGCATAGAGCAGTTAGAAAATAAATGGATATATAGAAAATTGAAGCTGTGTCTGTATGCAACTGCAAAGGAACAAGCGGAATTAAAAAAAAAAACATTGTGCATTTCAAGCACTGAATTAACTCTACTTGTTCCTTAAATTAAAACAGTATCTTGAATCCAGGTATTCAAAAATTTATTTTTTTCAAAAAGATTCCAGGTTCACCACAATGACATTATAGTTCAGTGTACATAAAACAAAAATGTATATCTTGAAAAGAATATTAATGAAACTGGTAGCAAAATGCAAAAATATACAGACAAAAGACTAAAATGAGCAATATATGTAAAACAATTCAACCACTATAACATACCCACAAGTACAGTTAGGTTTTCTGAGGAAACAGTTCACCTTGACAGATATTTTTCAGTGTATATAATGGACTTACAAAAATAATAATTAAAAAATAAATACAATGTTAAAAGTAACAGACTTACTATTATTTCCAGGTTGAGGTTGAACTATACAGACCCAAGTGCCAGTTATCTTCACTTATTCATAGCAAAGCACAGTACTATACATCAGATCTTAAAATAAACTGCTTCCAAGCATTAAGATAACCTCAGTTTTGTACATTTATAAAAGCAAATTCATTAGTTTGTTCTAAAGAACATTTAAATCACTTACTAAATAAACATTACACTTTGATCAGTAGCTTTAACAAAAATCTAGTTATTTCAAATAAAAATAAAATAAACATGAACAGCAGCATACAAATTAAAACAATGTTTTATTTCTGCTAGAATAAAAGAAAAGTGTTCACTTTGACCCCCCAGGGTTCATGTCTAAATTATTAATCAAAAATACTATCAATGCAAAATTACAAGTTATACATAACTTTGAAATGAAAAATACCTCTTGGTTAAAACCAAGGTAAGAAAAGTATTAAAATGTTAAAGACAATTCTGTAAGAATGTTTTAAAGACACAACATTTAATTCCTGGGGCCTCTAAAAGTGATATAACTTTGTGGTAACTCATTTGTATAATTTCCAGCAATATTTCTTTCAAAAACCAACAAACATCTTACATAAAGGTTTTTAAGAGAACAAATGGCTGCACAGAAAAATACCAATAAGAGCAGAGAAATACAAACGGGCTCATTCTTTCAGTTAATGTTAAAAAATTAAATAGCTGAAGCTGAAGCAACTGCAATTGTACTGTAGACAGTCAGATATACCCATTTGATCCAGTTGATCCAGTTTGATCCAGTGTATTATAGGGTCTATACATTTATTAGCTTTGATATCTTTTATCTCTCTCAAACACTCTCTTGGACTTCAGAGTACTACTTACTTTCTTTGTTATCCATGTAAGTATATTTAGAATTGTACTATTGTATGAACAAATGATAGATGTGCATATGTTCATGTGTGCATATTTTTCTTACAGAACTACCATTGTTGTTTTCCTCATATGTTCAAATTTCTTTTCCACTATCCACTGATGAATTTCAAGAGTGACATACAGTATACTGTGAAAAAAAATGTTTAAACAAATTCTAAGGATATGTAGTCTACTATGTAGCTTTCAGAAAGCTCTCTTGATTAATTTACAGGATCACAGCAAGGAAATGGCATAGGGTGTGAAGGTGCACATTAGAGATCAACAGCCCCTGGAAAACAGCCCCATAACAGCAACAAATAAATAGTATTTGTTTTAATTAATGTGGCAACTGTACTGTAAAATATATGCTTAAAAGTGCCACAATGCGCAGTTCTGCACAGTATTGACAATACCAGATTGCTGCAGAAGTGACTCTAAATTCTGAAAATACTGAGGTCACCATAATCACTTGTTCTTACTTTGCAAGATTCCTTCCTTAGGTGAAAGGCCCCTTTTTACATGGATGTTTCTACAATCACAGAAACAGAGTTAAAAAACAGTTGGATACTATTCCAGTCTGAGTCTCAAATAATATTATAAAATCTCAATGAAATCTCAATGAAAATGAATTTTACTCTCAACAGTACAGTAGTTGTTACTTGTGTACTTTTTACTTTTCTGAAGTGAAACTGTGATTACTAGCATAATTGTACCTCATTTTTTAAGTTTTTTAATTTTACAGTGATTTTGTAGCAGTACTGTTCACAATAGAATTAATTTTAATACATTTAATGCTTTAAATGTGGTTAGCCTGTACAGTGCAAATGCCTTTAAAATTATGCTGGGAAAGAGGTGGAATCTTAAGTGATAAATATTGGTTAAACTGAAAAATCAGAAGCCCTACAGTACATATGTTACTGCTCCTATTTTTATAAAGCAAAAAAAACTACTAAAAGAACAGTGGTGTAGGATAAAGGAAGAACAATTGTTTATGCAAACACATTAGCCTATAAATATGAAAAATAATAAAAACGACTTTTATAGTTTAATTCAGATTATCTGCATCTTACATAAATTATTTTGAGATATACTTTTATACGAGTTCTCTCAGTCTGCTTCTACTCAGATTATTTTATACACTATTGTGTAAGGACTCCCAGCGCTGAAAAACAGAAATAAGTTAAAAAAAACACGCCTAGCTTGTTTGCTTGCTTTATCCTGTTTGCATCTTAGCTACTAGTCTACAGAATCTATCTTTCAATGAGAACAGCCTAAAACAGAAAATCAACAAAGACAGCAGAAAATAGAAATGCAATAGAAAAAGACACGCAAACTGATTCCTATCACAAGTCATGGAATTTTGTTTTATCTTCTAATGGAATATCTCAGAATTTCTATCTTATAATTTGTAAATCCTACCAATAACTAAATGTATGTGATTTATGTTACTCCCATGGTTACTACTACAGAACTATACCTGGAAGTACACATCTGAAACAGATAAACTCTACACATATTTAAATAAGATAAATTATTTGCCATTTATTTTTATGTGATTTACATGATAAAAGGTTTTAATTTGAGGGTCAGATCTTTAAACACGGCATACAACGGGATATTTGCAACAGATATCAGTTTCTTCTCTGTAGAATGAATGCTGTTACTTATAATTTGAATAGGTAGAAGTAACAACATTTTGTTTGACCAAAAACAACATACTATTTACACTACTCCTTGTTATACTGTGTAACATAAGACATATACTGTCTAATACATAACACACAATAGGTATGATTAGCAATGACATTAGCCTACTCAAAATGTGCAGAGTACTATAGTTCAGATTCTTGGGAAAGGAAAATATGGAGATGAAAAAAGAGAAAAAGGTAATTAATCTCCTTTTGCAAATAAACAGCTTTAAGCAAGTTTTCCTTCATTTGAAGTGATAATTCCAGCTTTAAATATGGAAACATGGGAAACAGCATAATGCATCATTTTCAAGGCTGAATGAAAGAATATGTCCTAATAAAGCCAGGAATACTATCCTGATTCTCCTCAGTTCTTAAATGGGCTTTCAGAATATGTTACAATATAGTAAAACCTAATATGATGAGAAAGAGTTGCTCTGGGAGTGTTAATGTCATTTTCTAGAGGAGTCTTCTGAATTTTGTTCCACTATAGCTACCGGTATTATTAATCAGTAAATTAACAAATGTTGCACAAAAGTACAACTGAATATATTAAAGCGGATTCTGAGATGAATCATACATCAGAAGACCTAGTAGTTCTTGAAGACTGCAGTATGGCACCTCTCTTCTAAGCAATACAGCTTGTCTCATAAATCCTGGATAGAAGATGCTTTAACATTTTTTTAAACACTTTTTGCTGACTAATAAATTTGTGAATAATATAGGTTTGACCATGAAGTATACAGCACATGCAGCTTTAGGAACCTAACAAAGCACGGTCAAAGTTAACATTGGGTGATGTAAATGCAGTATAAAACATAAACAGAACAGTCCTCTCTAAACTGATATTTGTAACTAAGAGCTTTTCAGCTTTTGTCCTGAAGTACCCATTTCGCCTAGTTTTCAGTCCAAACAAGGTATTGGTTACATAAATGATAGATGAACTGAATTAAAAATGTGCTTAAAGAGACCTTTACAGTTTTCACCTGGTACACAATTCTAAAATCACACTTACCACACTGACATACCATAGTTGGTTCAAAATCTGATAGACAGAGCTTAAAATGGGTCTGAGGTAAAAATGACTGCCCTGCTGGAGAGGTAACTGATCAGGATGTATCATGACTCTACAAATAAGGATTCATTTGGACTAGTCTGAAGAGCCTAGACCTAGGTCTGTCACTTAACCTTAAATACAAAACCTATATAAATTGCAATTCAAACCCAGTGTTATCAGAATAGTTTTCTTTTAGTTTGCTATACATTCCACAATAGTTTACACTTTATGCATTTGTTTCTCCAGCTAAAGTATATAAAACAATTTTAAGCATTACTTCATCTTCAGACATCTTTTATACAGGAAGTGAAAGACAACTGAGAAATATACAGTAGATAAAAGCTGAGAATTCTACATATATCAGGGTTATTTCATTAACCATGGTTCTTTAAACTATACAGTTTTCCCAAGCACTGTTCCTTAGGTTTAGGTTAACATGAGGCTAGGCAGATATATAGTAGCAATGTTTCTTCAAGTAGCCACTTGTACTATTATTAGAGACCAACTCTATGTCCTATGTCTCCCTTATTTGTTCTTTACATTCTAAGGAAGTACATATCGGAAAAAGGAGAAAGACAATTAAAAATAACAAGGACTTGTAAATAAAAATTCCCCAACTGTCAGTCTACAGTCTGTCTATTTTAACAATCTGAATGACAGTTATGCTACTTTAGTTTATTGCACAGTTTTCTTCTGTTTGTCTATGGATGGCTGGTCATTTAAAAAATGCAAAAAACAGACACTTTTTAAAGCCGAATCACTGCCCCACCCCAACCTCTTTCCCAAATCCCAGCACTTTTACTTAGCTTAAAATTTACCATTGCTGCCAACTAAAATCATCATTTGATCCAAAGACCAAGAAAAAGCCCAGAATGGTTGTAAAGATGACAGCATTCCCAGTCAATACAAGTGCACATGCCCCCCATTCGATCTGAAAAGAAGAAAGATATAAAATGACAATATTAGCTTTATTTCTCTGTATAAAAAAATCTTATAGACTGAAAAAACAGTCAATTTAATTTGGCAGTGTTATAAGATCATTGAGGAGACAAACATCTATGACATATTTCCTAAAAACAAAAAATGATGAGCTTAGAAATCTTATGACTTTAAAATATAATGATGTTACAGTTCAAGTAGTGATAGCTTTATATGTTACAACTGGAAATGACACAGCACAAAGTGGGTCATGCAGTTCATTTTCACCACAATAAATGCTTGTATTTAATATTCCACACCTGAGAGTAATGTGTGATACATGTATACGTCTGGTGCCAGCTTCATCTACTGCACAAATAAAAATCTAATGTTTATAAAATGTATAAAGATATAATACTGCTCACAAATTAATGCTGCATCTCAGTAGATGTTAATAAAAAATTAAAAAATTACCACATTAGCTCTTGCAAAGACTATGGGCAATCCAAATGCTGAGACAACTATTCCCGTTGTGAGAAAAATGGCGAGCTCTTTGCAGGCATTGCTTGCAGCATCTGTGTCATCCACCACTCTCCGTGCAATGCAGTAAGGAATTGGAGAGAGGATATAGAAGAAAAGAACAAACAATGGCCAGTATTTGCTGTAAAGACAAGACAGAAAACATTCAAAAACAAACTGGAGATGCAAAAGGATCAAGAGCTAAGCATTTCCAAATGATAAAGCAGATTAGGTGTTGGGTAAATACATTTTTAAGTTTATCTGTTCCTGAAACATCTCACTGTTGATTCTATACCCACGCTTCGCAAGTATTTTAAGGGAATTCTACAAAACTAAATATAAAAAGATGCTCACAAGAAAAATCCAAGGTATTTCCCTTTTTATTAATACAACACTGAAATAAAATATGTGATTAGGAAATTATAAATACTTGCATTACTAACCTTTTTTTGTCATTATTCCCACTGAAGCATAGAATTCCCCTCATATAAACAAAACAATAAACTTCACGTTCAAGTATAATTGGTTTTACACATTGTATATGCTAGGAAGTAATAAAAACAGTCAAATGTATATGCAAGACTTATCCAAAGTTGTACAGTGTGGTCACTAATTAATAATAATTGCTTCTGGATGTATAAGTATTTTTCATCCTAAGGATCTCCAAGCACTTTCAAATATAAGAGGGGATTCACCACTAAAATGCAGCATCAAACTAAGTGATAAACAACAGTAATTATGCAGCTGCATTCCCACTAAAGATAAAGTGGAGACGTGAGAAATGAATTCACTAATTGAACTTGAGGGAAAATTGAGGGAGGCTAAATTGTGTAAGCCCAAAAACAGATTAATCAGGACATGAGGGTTAACACCCATATTCTTCTGAACAGGGCCACGGGATCTTTAAAGATCTGATAGTCAGCAGCTCTTACCAAATAGTGTCTCCATCACCTACCTATGTATCCATACACTCCACTTACAGCCACAGCCTGGTTTAACTCTGAGGTATCCTATCCTAGTACTGCCCAGGCCCAGCCTTACTTGGCTTTTAAGATTTCAGGTTACAAGGTGGAAACACTGCTCTACTTTGAATGCCTTTATCAGAAGCCATACTTAAAATGATTCAGAAGTCATATTTATAAAAAGGAGGAGTTTTTAAAGCTTTATAGTAAACTATTCCATTATACTAAGAAAAACAAAGGTATGTGCTCCCTGAATCACTCATTACAATTAAAGAAAGAGAGATGTGGTGTGCCTTATGCTGTTTTGATATAACCTCTGTGTGCTGTTGTGTCAGTCTTTGTCAAGCAGAAAATTCGGTGTAAGGGAACAACACTCACTTGTACACAGGAAGAGCACATCCAAGCATAAGAAACATAAGTCCAATGGCTCCTCCAAAGGACAGGCTAATAAGAGCTGAGAAAGCAAAAAAAAAAAAAACATCTGAAAAAAATATTGACCAAATCACCATAACCTGATTCGCTGGCATTTGTCAGATTGGCATTGTTATTCTGCAAAATCTCCTTATGACTCGGAACACTATTTTCAGTCCAGTTGTGCAAATCATAACTTGCTATTTATCCTACATGAGCTACTGTGCAGTATGACTTACAGCTTGCTAAATTACAAAATTATTAAGAACTTGATTCTACTCTCTTCATAGGTTAAAACTTTCCACATATATTTAGCTCTTGTATAATTTTAAAGAACCTACAGAACATCAGCTGACTGGAACAAAATTAAGTTAGTACTAGTAAAGGTTCAAATGAGTCACTGTGATTTTTCTGGCAGGAGTAAGTAAAATAAAGCTACAGTATAAAGTACAGTACCAGTCAAAAGTTTGACTACACCTCCTTGAAACCAGGTTTTTCATGATTATCTGTGCTTTAAATTGTATAAACTTGTCTATAAACACCTAATATTTCATTACTGGATATGTGTACTTATAATCTTAAGTGAACTGCACTGAAAATGTTAATTTTTCATTTTCAATACATGCAACTAGAAGTACAGACGGTTCAACATCAACTGTTCAGAGGAGGTTGTGTGAAGTTGGCCTCAAAGGTCCAGTTTCTGTGATTTTTGGCCCAGACAGGTCTCTTCCTCTTATTCTGCACTCTTAACAATGGTTTAGTCGCAGCAATTCTTCCTGGTAGGCCAGCTTCACGCAATTAGTCGCCAGTTTCACAGACTTGTGACTCTAATGAACATATTCTGTGATTCTGAGGTCACCTTTAGCCTACCTGAACCTTTTCAGTTCTCATGAGTGCCAGTTTCTTCATATCATTTGACAGTCTTGGCCACAGCAGTTACAGACACTTGCAAAATTCTTGCAATTTGTCTTAAAGATTGACCTTCATTTCTTAAAGTAATTATAGACTGTCTTTTTTCCTTGATTGCTGAGCAAATTTTGCCATGTTCATTCAGGAATTACAAACTTTTGCCTATGCCCCCTATATTTATAGTAATCATGGACCCTCACGTGTTTACCAATAATTGGTGACAAAAGGTAAATGAGGTAACATGCTAATTAAGTGTGAGAACATCTAACAAAGACAAATACAGTTTTAAACTTCTTTTAGTTTTCTAAAACCATGTTATACACATTTCTGACTTTAAACTAACCTGGGCTTCGGACTGAAATCTGCTTGCTTTGAGTGCTCATTTTCACTTAAGATTATAAGTAAACATATCATGTAATTAAATATTAAGTGTCTATAGACATGTTTATCCAGTTTAAAGCACAGATAATCATGAAAAACCTGGTTTCAAGCAAGTGTACTCAAACTTTTGACTGGTACTGTACATTCTAAAAATTCTTAGAAAGAATCTGTGATGGAAACTAAGCAAAGAAACTTGAAAGGTGTGACAACAGTGTATAAATAACTTGATTAAGAACAAAATGCAATACACGCAATACAAAATGTGTGGACAATTATAAGGATACCAGGGAAAATCATTCCTGACACATAAAGCTTCTTTGAATATCCAAGCAATTCCATGTATTGGAGTACATTAAATAAACGATTATAACAGCAAACTTCTACAAAATAAAAAGTTCAGGTGTTGCAGTGGATGCTTTATCATTTGTCATCATGGTGAAGGAGCAATCTAACATTTTCTTCGAGATTACAGAATGTAAGAACAGAGAAAATATTAATTGCACAAAATTATAAACTGATCACTTAACTCATAATAATACTTTAAGCAGGCAATTTAAATTATGATTTGCAATGACAATCTAACCAAGATCTAACACGGGTGTGAAAATAGTGCATTCAGCCATTAGCACAGTCCCATACTCCATCCACAGTGAGGATCGTTTTGAGGGTTAGATTAATACCTCATCTCATTAATTCAATAAACCCACATTATACTACAAAATGTATTAAGCAGCTAGTTCACATCTACAAAGTACTCAGTTCCATGATCTCCATGTGATCAATCACACAAAGATCCCTTGTACTGTCGAAGGGTGGCCTCTTGAGTAGCTTGTTTCTATAGTTTTCAAACGATTAAAAACATCGTCAAATTTTCTCTGTTTAAGTATTATTTTAGTACCGTGTTCCTCTTGTTGCAGCAAATTTGATTGTTAAAAATAAAAATGCGATATTAATTGTAAACTGGAATTAAAGCAGTTTCAATTCTAAGTGTATTATAATGACACGGTAACGAAAATATCTAATTCCGTAAACCTGACGAGTTTTTTTTATTAACCGGAACAGGCTTAAATGATAAATATACAATCCACTAAAGTTATTAGCGGTTTTAAATCCTTTACCCATGTGCGGTGTAAACTGTGAAAAACTACGGAGCTCAATATACCGATACGTTGTGCCTTTGTATGATAGCTGTATACATTGTTTTGTTGATCATGCAACGACAAACGGTTGTATAATTTTGTCTGAAAAGCACACGGCTATTTTAATAACAAAAGAAAAAAGCATTAAAACATCCATTAATATAGACTGATATACCAATAATTTTTGAGACTTCCAGGTATTATAAGCTATAAAGACTGAAATCACATTTAATAAGGTGTTGGCCTGTAGAAAAAACCATGAACGAACCGAAGAGGATATGTTGCCAAGCAAGCAGACAGCTGTCATAATCTTTCTATCTATACGCTGTTTTGTTGGGACTGCTTATATTACTGTATCAGAAGATAAGATTCAACGAGTCACTGCTCACCTTTAATCCCAGCCATTTCAGCTCAACATGAAATCTTTCAACAACAGCTGATCCTCAACCTTACACACTTTCGATTCCCAGCAATCTCACCCGGCGCGCATGCTCGACGCCAGACAGACGGATGGTTCCTTGCGCCTAACGGTGCAGCACTCCTTGCGCAGTTAAGATTATTTTCGAGAGACTTTGCAATTATCTAACGGAATGTAGAAAATCGGGTATTTAAAAAGAAGCAATTCTTTCTGAAATGTTTTTTTTTTGTGCAATGTTGCAAGATCTGGCTATCTGTATCATCTGCACAGATACAAATCATGTCAAAAGTATCGTGGAAAGTATTATTTTTCCCTAGGAGATATTTGCTCAGACACTTCAAGTATAAAGACCCAATCGAAACGACAGCGCCTGCACTTACTGCGATTATTACAGCAATAGTAAAACATCTAGAGACAGTTTTTTATCCATTGTTTTAGGGGTCGCAATATTTCCCATTAGTGTTGTGTCCATCTCGGTTTTCGGAATAAGAAGCCTAATAAAAGAGTGGGGGATATAACTAGTGTTTGTTTATTATGAGTGATAGGAACATAATTGGTTATTATGGTTATTATTTCGAATAACCAAGAACTACAATCTTTAATAATAGCCTGCTAGTATAATATACTTTGACCTCAACAAAATGGTCGTCTTGAAAAGCTCTCACGCCATCGTATTTATTCCGCGTGATTGGAACAAGCCAATAGAAAAGTCTTAAACTGACAGACATTGTATTGCATGATGAAAACAATCGCAATAATGATCACAGTATTGAAATCATAGCAGTTTTTCTTCTCTTAATAGGTGTTAGTCATACCTTAGTGGTATCGCAAGGGAGATTTGACATATAGATGTACATATACTTGAGACGTGATATAGTCTCTATATAAAAACAACTTGGTCTACTTTTTAAAATAGTTGTAATATTGCTTTCGATAGGTGAAATACCCCGGAAACTACATCGTTCGATATTTTAGGTTCTCATTTTGTGTTGTTGTTTTTTTTTGTACAGAAAGCAATTATGAAGATATTCGTCGCCATTTTTGTGCTGTTTATTTATACAGGGCGAACTGAGAGTTGGAACGATGGAGGTAAGTTGAAATCTGTGGCTGTTATTTGCAGATCTTTTGCAGGCAGGCTACGTCACACTGTTTTGAAACGGAAACTGTAACTGTTCTATATTGTTTTAATTCCATAGAGCTACCTCAGTGCGTTTAATCTATAACAAGTGATGGGTTTATCACTTGTTTATCTGCACTTAAATTGACGAGTTTGATAGTTATTAGAGTTTTGTATGACTCTGTTAACAAGTATTATAGCACCAGATCCTTACATTATACAACAATTCCTGTTTGTGCTTAATTGATCCGAGGATCTCATCCAGATATTTCTTGAACGAAGCCAGGATATCAGCTTCAAAACAACAACATGGCTGGATAGGTTCATACACTCAAAACCCTTTCGGTTACAAAGTGCCTCCTATTGTCTGTTTCTTTGATGATTTTGACTACGTTTCCAGAAGGTAGAAAATCGGGATTATGGGGGTCTTAATGGATGATTTTTCAAAATTTGTCAGTAAAATGTATTAATGTGTTCTTGACAAGCTTGTGTTTCAAAGCCATACTGTAAGTGTATCTGGTATGTTTGCAGGGAGTGTTTTGCTTCGAGAGCTTCAGGTGATTACTCTGTACAAAGGACAGTACACCAATTCTCGCAGGACCAGCCCTGTTCCACAGTTACAGTGCATTGGAGGAACTGCTGGTTGTGGCTCTTTCATTCCTGAAGTAGTTCAGTGTCATAACAAAGGATGGGATGGCTTTGATGTTCAGGTATGTGTAACTTGGCTACTTACATATCAAGACAATTCAAAGATGATCATCATCTTTGTAGGAATGTAGAGCTAGACTACACTCATGTAATAAGTCTTTAGAATTTTCAGAGCCTTTTGTGTGAGTAGGAGTCATTATATTCTTATGTAAATGAGGATAATTCTGGATATACTGAAGCCGGTTTTGTAAATTACTAGATGCCATACTATTTCATATTATCATGATGAAATTATGGTATCTATCTTTCAGCATCATACAGATTAAGGGTCTTAACTGCTTTTTGTCATGGGATTCATTTCAACACCATCAACATTCTAGAGTCCAACTTTGTGATGCGGATATGAGCATAACCTCTGTCTTGGCAGCTTAAGATAGATACATTGCTCTGTGTATATATATCTAAAGTACAGAAACCACAACAATAGTACTGTATGTGATTTCTTCAGTCTACAAGTAAATCTGAGTGTCCTCAGCACAACAGTGAAACCCGAGTTCATGATGGCTGATTATTTGACCAAGTGGGAAGGTGCAACTACAAAATAGTAAAGTTCTCAACACAGATCCCTTAGTACCTGGAACAACATCAGATTTAAAATGATCAAGATTGACAAATTGGTTCCTGATCATTAAATATCATGTCATTAAATAAATAAATCATAAATAAAAAGTCAAACCAATAAAGGAAAGTACCTGTAACCCCAGGATAATCTCCATGTAATCCATTAGGATGCCATAATGTGCAGTATCAAGGACAACTCTCAACAAGTCTGAGACAGAAGGAGGACCTTGCTACCTTAAGAGCATCCCTGTAGGGCTTTTCATTTTGCTCATAAGCCTTTGGTTGAACAGGCTTATGATCTTCTACAAGCACATTTGTGTACCAGCAGAATAATAATAATAGTAATAATTGCTTACACTTGTATAGCGCTTTTCTGGACACTCCACTCAAAGCGCTTTACACGTAATGGGGATCTCCTCCACCACCACCAATGTGCAGCATCCACTAGAAGAATGTACAAAACAAATGTTATATGTTTTCATTGGAGCTAGACTATCAAAATGATTTTGTGTTGTGTTTGAATTATTTCTCTTCGTGTCATTTTTATTCTACAGTGGGAGTGTAAAACCGACATGGATTACTCTTATAGATTTGGAAAAATAGAAGTGAGCTGTGAGGGATATAATTATCCAGATGACCCTTATGTGCTGAAGGGTTCCTGTGGGCTGGAGTACACTCTGGAACTGACTGAAGAAGGAAAGCAGAAGGGAAGGAACAGTAGGAGCTTTGGATCTGGGTTTTTTCAGGACTCCTCAAGCAATGTGAATTATCAGGGCTCTGGAGGTGATGTCAGTGGATTAATGGTGGTTGCTGTTTTGTTGCTCTTGGCCTATGGTGTATATAAGATGTTCTTGTGTGGGCCACACGGACAAGGACACCAGCGTTTCCCTGATGCAGACTTTTCCAACGCCAACACCGATGGCCACTTCACTGATGGTAACACAATGGGCCCACCTCCTCCGGGATTTAAGTCATACTACACAGGTACCTGAGGAGTTCACTTCTCCTGGATAACAAATATTTTCCTTTGTAACTTGTGAGGAATCTTGCACGTGGAAATTTTCCAAGGCTTATGTTTAATATTATTTTTCCCACTAGAGGTTTCCTGGTTATTCTCAACAAGGTCAAAGCAGTACTGAGGTATAGTGTAAATTTGGAAAAGGAAGGAAATGTTCAGAGTTGTATAAAATGTCGATGGATCTCAATGCAGGAAACGTATATGGGTTAGGATTTAAAGTTTAATTTTTAAAATGTTTTTTTCCTGAATTTTCTGCTTGTTATGTATTTGTTTGATATATATGTTCATTTAAATATTAAGCATTGTATGATAAACATTAATTGGAGCAATATATTGGTCAGTAAAATCTAATTGGAATGTTGCTCAATGAAATCTTCAGTTCATTGTACTTTTCTTGTATGTTGCTTTTATAAAAATGTTGGTTTATTTAAAATCCCTCCAATAACAAGCCTGATTTTTTCTCCTTTTTTTAGGAGAGTCACCAGGTTATGAGAGTGCCAGAGATAGTTATGGATTTAAAAACACTTTCACAAGACCTCACCAAAAGCCTGCTTCGGGGCCTGGATTTTGGACTGGAATGGGCACAGGAGGTGTATTAGGATATTTATTTGGAAGTCAGAGGTGAGTTTTTAATGTTTTAATGGAACTATTTTCAAGAAGCCTAGTTCTTATACTGTAGATGTATCAGTGTTAATTTTAGTCATCATAGGGAGCAACGAGGTACTGTATAAATCTAGGACTAAATATGAGCCATTTAGGTGCGATGTTCTGTCGCACCTACATTTTGTTTTCAAACAATTAATCCTCGAGCTTGAAAACAACCGTGTCTGGTCATGGCCCGAAAACGTAGAAACAAACGTATAAAACGCACACAAAAAACGTGTACTCAATTACGGAACGTAGTTGTATATGAGTCTTTAGAATAAATGACAGGTTGTTCCGATTCTGTCTATATGTACAATATACAGTGTAGGCCAAAATTGTATAGATTAAACCTTCAGGGGATGTATCTATGATTATACTCAATTCACAGGCATGACCAATATTCTGTAGCACTACAGTAGTTGTATTTTACAGATGCAGTTTTTCATGTGACTACTTATATTGAACAAGAGCAGTCTATACCAAAGAAAAGTAGTTGTAGGAAAACAGGCTTTTTTTGGCCAAAGAAAGAATTTACTTAAGTACAATAATATCAGGATATCTTAATTTGTGATGTGAATCGGACTTTGTCAGGGTTAATTGGATTAGCACCTGAAAACTCACTTCTGAGAGTTACACCTATTGTCTAAGATACATCTCCTTAAGTTTGTATAATCATTCTTATAGCAGTGATTTTAGCAATGTTTAACACAACTTAAAAATGACAGAAGACTCATAGTGATTAGCCACACAGTTCTGTTTGAAGGAGTCAGTCAAAATCAATGTCTTTGTATTGTGTGCCAGTGAGCAACACTGTCTCCTGGCATACATTGAAGAGAAACAGGTCATTTCATGTCTTAAACCTTTTACCAGCTTATTTCTTTCCACTTTTCTAGATCTCAGCCCAGATATTTTACAAGAAATACAGGGAATTCAAACATTGGTCCTACACCAGTAAATAGTGGCACCCGAACAGTTTCAGGTAACAGAAGTCTAGGCTTCTCAAAAAAATCTGTGCATCCTTTTCTTAAATAATTTGATTACTAAGCATTTCTTAGTAATGCAGCCTTATTTTATTCTGAAATTCTATAAAACACAGGATATGCTGAATGAGGGCTTTATTAGAAGTTTCAGTGTTATTTTCACTAGTGAAAATAGTATTTTTATTTGTAGTATGTAATTGTTAATTTAATAACACTTCAGGGGGAAAGGATTTAAATCTGCCATGTTATAGTATGCTAATAAGTTGTATTGTCACTCCTGTGAAAATGTGAAATCATAAAAGTATATAGAAATTGGAGCAGACTAAAAAGAAAACAACCCAATGTACTATATCTGTTGGGTTTCTATCTTGCTTACTAGTTATGTGGTATTAAGGCAGACTTGTCTTTTTTTGCTTTTTTGTAGGTTTTGGAGGAACCAAAAGAAGGTAGACAAGAGGAAGGTTAAAATATAGCAAACGTCGTCTGCATGAAGAATAATTTCAGTGTCAGATATGAAGCAGGCTTTTTATACAATTGCTCATTGTCTGCTTTGTAACTAACAGCTCACATGAACATGTTGTATATTCCAGGACATAATATTAACTTTTTAATTGGGTAGCAACACAGGAAGCACAGGCAGGGATCCTAAGAACTTTTTTCTTTCAGGACTTTTTTTAATTAAACTTCTATCATATCTTGCAATCTGGAAGGCTCTTCAGAGTGTATTCTATGATATTGCCTTTTTAGTATCTGAATAATCCAAGGGTCTCACCCAGCCATTTGGTGAAGTATGCTGGCAAGTCTGCTCCAATAACATGGGTATGCAGTTTGTTTCTATATTCTCACAACCTTTTGTGTAAAGACGTAACTCCTGTTTCCTTAAATCTGTTCCACCTTAGTTTCACTTATAACCTCAGGTCCTCGTTTCACTGTTGTAATCTTAAGGGCTGACAGCCAGTGTCTTTCAAAATTTTAATCTTCTCTGCTTATATCTTAAGAGGCAACATTCCTGATTCCATAATTCGAAGATGTAAAACTTTTTTTTTCTGTGAGTTATCACCACAGTCTCTTCCCAGAGCTAGTAGTATTGAGGTCCCTGTAAAGAAACTGAAATAAAAATAAATTTTAGGTTTGAATACAAAAATAGATTAATTAAAAAAACTATAGACTCATTAGTCTAAGCTGTGAAAAATACCTTCTTTACACAAAGAGTTGTGAATTTGGTTTGAATATATTTTTGAGTTGAAGGTGAATATATTTGAATGAGATGTTCCACATGTTTTCAATAGGCATTTAAGTCATTACTTTTCTTTCAGTTATTGCTTTGAGTGAATTTGATATTTTGTACATATATACTCTTTTGTTGAAAACGACAAATATAAGATTTTGAGGGAAAAAGTGAGATGGTTTAGACATTGTCTGATTTTATTGCTGTGATTGTAAAAAAAATACTCCTTATGTAAGGTTGAAATGAAAGCTTTAAGAAAACATGCTGGTAGAAAATTGTTTTGTAAGCTGAATGCTACTTTTTAATGTTAGAAACAATCAGTTATATTACTTAGTATATCTTAGAATGTTTTGCCATAATAATGGTGGGTATTTTTGAAGCTATGGTAAAAATTAAACTTTTAAGCACAGGTGTTCTATTTAATTTTGCTTAAATTTAGATGAGCTTTACAAATCTGTATGTGTGCCTAACTGTAACAAGTTTTTAAAGGAAAACTAAAGACTTTTCAAGTACAGCAAACTGAAACGAGTTATAAAATATTACACATTTTTTGTGAATCTGTGTAAAAGTGTATCAATTTAATGAGTAACAGCATCTGGTCATTTTCACACTGAGTTATATAATAATAAGAACCCACTATTATAGTAAGTTATTTTTTATAGTACTCATGAATCTGACCATTTTCTAAAATGAATCTGTTGTTTAGTTGTATTGAACATAGAACAGAACTGGACTTTTTTTTCCGATTGTTTCTAATAAATTAGAGAATTTCAAATGTCTATATTGTTTGTGATTATTTGAAGCAAAAATATTTATTTAACTCTTGGTTTGGAAATTAAAATACAACATATTACCTTAAAAGGTGGAACAGCTGGGAACTGAGAATACGTCTTGGTTTTTGATTTCTTGAATATGTTGAGAATGAAAATTTAGTTTATTCGGTTTAATAATTTTCTATTCACTTTGTAGCTCTTTTTGAGGGAAACTCGCACATACAGGTACATATGAAATTTACAATTGGTAAGTAACAGTCATGCAACCAACAGCATATTAATAAAACTGAAAAATAACTTGTAAATCATGTGTTGTGCTGGATAAAATAGGTGGCCTTGGAACAGTATGCATTTCATATTAACAGTGAATAAAAGCCATTTGTGAATCATATTGACTGAGACATTAGACTATATTATGGATTGTCATTGAGAGACAAAAGGTCACAGGTGCTTTCTGGACAGATGAGTCTTGGGCAGATCTCTGATTTCTGTGGGTCGTCCATTCCACAACTGATATGTGTGAGAATGAACAGGCAGAAGAAGGAAGAAGGCAAAACCCAATATCTGGCTGTAGAGGAGTGGAGAGAGCCGGAAGGAAGTTAGGGAGAAACAACGGACTGAAGAAAGGTCAGAGCAGAGTGATTCAGATAATGGCTGGGTTTTGAATTAGATGCATGTGGCACTAGGGAGTGCTGTAGCATGTGAAAAGAAGAAAATATAAGAAGAGTAGAATTCTGAATTAGTTGGATTGATGGTTGAGTATATGGACAGCTGTAGCTACAATAGTCTACGTGGGACATGGGGCTGTCGGGAACAGGAGAAGGTCTGGCCGAGAGTGATGCTGAGGTTCTTGGCAAAAGTGGATGTAGAGAGACTAGGGAAATAAGAACGGTTCATAGAGATGAAGGTACAGGATGGGAAGAGGACAATTTTCTTCAGGTGAATAATGATGCAAAAAATCATGGAATGGGGAATAAGTGTAAAGGGAGAACAGTAGTGGGCCCATAAGGGGACCATAAGAGATACAAGTGCACAAGGATCAGAAAGTGGGCCTATGGCCAGCAAGGAAAAAAGACAACCAGTTGAGAATAGTGACAGAAATTCCTTTTTCACTAAGTGTTGACAACAGAGTAGGGTGATTTACAGTGTCAAAGACAGTAGTGATTAAGAGCAATTAAAATGGAAAAGAATGGGGGCAACACAAGTTGAGTGATAAATTGTATGGATAACCCAGCTGAAAACAGAGAGATGTTAAGGTGAGGTGAAAGGAAAAGGGAAGGAAGATCAGGACTATCCATTTGTAAAAGGTGAGTGGGAACAGAAGACCTACATGCAACCGGTCCCCTCCTGCAATTTACCTCTTCATGGGTTCATTGCCCTGAAGTAAAGATCTGTCAGAGGGATGTGAAAAATATGAAGATTTGGGTTTGAAGAGCTTGCAAAGGTCAGAGATTTTGGGGTACAATAAGGAGACAAACTCACAGGATTTTAAAGAGAAATATGTGAAGTGTTTAGTGAAGTGTTGAAGAGAAGAATGAAAGAAGAAAACAATAGCAATCCAAGTCAGAGGGAGATTTAGATCTCTATTTTTCATGAATGTTATGAAGGTTTTTGTACTGTATGTGCACAGACATTTAAAACATTATTGCATACCTTTGTTTAATTTTGTCAGGTTTTTGATACTTTTTCATTTATTCCTCAAGTACCTTTTGTACAGCTGTTGGCTAGAAAATGTTGAGTGCCTGTGTATTTTGATGTTTTAATTACAAATTCAATTGAGATGTCACCATAGAGCGCATCAGTGTGTAACAGGAGTAACACAAATTGCCACTGAAAAATCTCTTAAATAATTTTACTCCAAAACTTATTTCTTCCAACTAATGTCAGCCAAGAGTGACAAAAGCTTACTTGCAATTCCTTAAATTAAATGGCTGAAGTGTGGTTCAGCTATCTTCTAATAAGGAATAACACGTACTGCTTTGCTAGCTCTAACTTGCTCTACGCTGGAGAAGGCATTCACCAGTTAGCCCCTTGTTATTATTAGGATAGCCTGGGGGTTCAAAGATTCTTGTACTTTACTGCTTTGCTTATTTTTGCACATTCCACCCAAGAGACCCTCTGTGAGATTCTGTACTTTTAAAATGGTCAATAGCTTTTTTAGCAAATTACATACAGAAGTCAATATAACTTTTCTTGCAAATGACAAAGTTAGCATAACATGGAAACATAAAATTCAAAACTTATTTCATTTTGAGTTCAATATAAAAAAAACTGGGTAGTTCATTTAAATAATATATTTAATGTTTAGAAACAAATATTTTAAATATACAAACATACAGTACGTGGTATATGCAAATACATTATTGAAGGTATACAGTTATAAATATATATACAACCTAGCTAGTCTTCCTTTGTGTGTGCATACAGTACACAGTGTAAAGTATCCTGATGTACAAAGAAAGCAACAATTTAAGCTTTACATCACTAGCTGATTACAAATATACATAATTTGAGCAATACTGATCCTGATATGAAACAGATTCTGTGCTTATGACATAATTTATTAAAATGCCAGGTGCTCAGTGTCTGGCTTCTTAGTTAAAACTGCAATAATAGACATTCAAAAAGGCATGATGACCCACCTGAGTAAAGAAAATCACCTGATTGCTATCAGCATGACTTAAGGTGGCCTATCTGTGAGAGATATTACCTAGAGAATGAGATCACATCATTCTGAATCATTCTCAGATTACAGTGGCTGTAGCACATAAAGTCTTCTGTGGCCAGAAGATGTCTGAAGTTGAAGAAGAGTGGGTTGTGCAGTGTTTTATTTAATGATGTGTGTTGTTTTGCACTTGGTGTACATAACAGAACACAATTTACATCGAGACATTTTAATGAGCATTGTGTTGATTTCTGCATTGCTCAACTCAACAGGTAGGGTTAGTGGATTTCTGACAATGTAGGAAGCAACCACATTTAACACAACAAAGCCTTTAGTGTGGATTGATTTATGCTCAGTGGTACATTGCCAAAATCTTTGATCCAACAGTTTTTCAGTTTCTGCAAACCAGTGTTGAACTGACAATTGTTCACCAGGACACTGTGAGACCACACAATATTTGTATTATTATGGCATTATTTAAAGAAATCAATGTGGAGATCTTTGGTCAGGTGAGGAGAAAAGGATTGCTTCAGAGTCGAATAAAACATTGGCAGGACTAACCCTCCAACGCAAAGAAGAGGTAAAAATATGACTGGACAACTTTCACTGGCTTGCATTTACACTAGCGACAGCAAGAATGTCACGCCTAAAACAAACTTTGTAACATTTGCGTTTTGACAGTTTTTCATATTTCATACATCTGTATGTTTGTTCACACCTTTTGGGATTTTGATCACAAGATAGATATTAAGATTTAGAGATTTATGTTTAAAATATTTGATTACATCCATTAGATCTGAGTGTCACATTTCTTTTGTGAATAAATTCATGTTTGTTTTATAGTATTTTCTTGATTAATTGTTATGGTAAGGTTATATTTACCTCTTACAACAATTCTGTGTAGGAGTACCTTACCACTATTGTAACAGGAAAACGTTTTTTTATTTAAATAAACATTTTTATAACTGTATATAAACAAATGATTACATACTGAAAAACCTTTTAATGTGTGATTATGCACTGTTCTAAAAGAATGAAGGTGTGGATTTCAGGGGGTGGGTGGCAATGTACCTTTGGGCAAGTAATGAAAGCATTAAATTCTTTTCATTTTCACAGATGCAAGCTCAACGTAAATGGGGCACAACACAGGTTAAGGACAGAGTAAAGAATGAAGAGATTTCTGATGTCACGAGAGGATTTTGAACTTCGTGATCAAATTCAGCTTCTTACAGAAAAATGTAATGTTCTTGAAGGAGAGAAAGGTGAGTCTTTCCTTAAGAGTAAAAGCTTAGGTTGAGAAAGTTGTGGTATTATGGTGTTTCCAGATACACTGTATCTATGTGGTTAACATAATGAAAAATAAACTTAAAAAAATGATTTGTGGACTATCTGAAATTAGTTTGTTCAATTTATGTAACTTCTAATGTTACGTGCACAGGTATTTTGATAGCAAGTGATAGTGTGTAGTTTGAAATGTGCTTTAAAAAGAATCTGGGAAACATAATATTACTCTTTTTTTCTTTAATATTACATTATACTGAAAAAAGCTGTGAAGCAAATATTCATATACAGTATATTACCCAAACACCTAATTAATAATAATACAGTTTACTGATTGTGATGGTTTACAATCTGTCATGAAAGGTTCTGTTATGCATTTGACAATACTTTAGGGATACACAGATAATTGTGTTATTGTGAATAATGAATAAAGCTCAAATGAATAAGTAAATGCACACCCACAGAGAGCTACACTGAGTCAAATGTTGGTGCCATAATGTGTTTGGTTTTAGTTAGATATTTATACTGTATAAGTAGATCTTATATAATATCACTAAAAAAGTGCTATGATGAAAGTAATACTAAATAATTATCAAATTACCTTTATTGACTATATTACTGTAAAAGATAGATTATTCACTACTTTATTCATCCTCAAGGGGGCAATTTAAGGAGCAAGTGGTGCAGTGCACAACACATTTGAAACAAAACAAAACTATGAACAAATTTATATAGAAAATTGCAAAGGGACCATAAAAATGAGTAGAAGGGGCTCTACCCAATAGATAGTGATAAAACTATCTATACATAAAACTATTTAGACTTATTTATAAAAAGTAATTTTTTTACTCCACATTTTATTTTTGGAAATGCTATATTTCTAAAAATATATAAGCACTGCTGGCTTTTCTTAACAGTGGCATCGGTATTCTAAATGAATTTAAGTTTATTGTCAAACACAGTGCACAGATATATGAGGTACAGCATATACAGTATGAGATACTGTAGATATAGAAAATTATACTTTGATATCTCAATGCAGGGTACAGATCCTTTTAAGACAGCTGTTGAATACTGGCTTGAAATACAAATGAGCTCAGTACTGCTTAATAACTTAATAACTAAGTAGTTTCTATTATCATTCTGAAATGATGAATTGTGGTTGCTTTGGTGTAGCAGTCCTTAAGAGGGAATGTTTGGTGGCCGGAGAACAGGCAAGGACCCTGAGAATGGATGTCAACTCACTCTCCATGCAGCTCTGCATACAGGAACAAAGAAATATGGCACTACAGGTGAAACATGACCAGCTTCTTAGAGAAACCCAGCATGAAAAGGTACATGTTGTATTCAAAGCTTGATAATTGCATGTAATGATGATGATGATGATAATAATAATAATTCCTTATACTTAAGTACTTATGCACTCACCTGGATGATGTGCCAGCAGCCAGAGTGCGCCAGTATGCTCACCACATATCAGCTAACAGTAGGGAAGAGAACAGAGAGAGGAAGCCAATTCATAGATGGGGATTATTAGGAGGCCATGAATTGGTAAAGGTCAATGGGAAATTTGACCAAGATGCCGGGGTAACACCGCTACTCTGAGAAATGTCCTGAGAGTTTTAATGACCACAGAGGGTAAGGTCCACAACTCTCCTTCCTAAAATGGCCTCATTCTCACTAAAAGAATCTACAACAGAATCAGTCTTTGAAGATGCATCATGGATTTGAGAAAATAAAAATAACATACTGTAAGAACAACACTATACAGTGCAGGAGAATTTGTGCTGATTGAATAGCAGGCCATATACTTAAGAGATGTGCTCTTCAAACGTTTGTAGCAGTTTGCCCACCCTAAGGTTCCTAAAACACAATACTCATAAAGCACTTTATATAGCCAAACATGTCAGTATTCAAGGAAAAGGTAAAGGTTTGTTTCATGCCAAAAAGAGAAGAAAAGAAACACAATGTTTTGGCTGTGGAGCCTTCTTCGGGTAAAGACTACAGGTGAAGCAGCTAACTACTTGAGCTAGATCAGTATTTAACACCCACGTGAGAATGTGTAATCTACCCTTTACCAGTAATATTTACCTAAATAAACACCTGGTGAATGGTTAGAGGCCTTTGGCGGCCTCTAGTGAAAGGTTAGTGGTCATTACAGTCCCTGCAGTGCAAAAAACGTGGGACCATTTTTGACATCTAGTAAATGAGTAGTTTTCCTTTTACCAAAAATCCACTGGCCTGGTACTTGGGTTTCTCATTCACTTACTTGAACTTACATCTGCACATCATGTACATTCTGTTTAAGCTTCATTGCATTTCCTAGTTTCTCTTTGACATCCTTGTGTCTCATTGTTATAGTTAAAAATGACCTGATATCAATTCACTGGGAGAAGAAAAAGTCTATGTAAAACATTTTGACAAAGTAATCTTGTCTTTTCTAGCCATAGAAACTAGTCATAAGTTTATTCCATGCTGAAAAGAGAAGATGGAAAACACAACGTTTCGTCTGTGTAGCCTTTTCTAGCCATATTTCTCAAAGTGGCTAAATGTAGACCTCTGGTTGCCCCCACCATGTACTTCTTTTCTGTACAGTAGGGTCTTGACATCTGTGAGGATGTCAGAGATTGCAGAGAACCATCGTGAATAATTAAATTTTAATATAACCAAGTCCAGCCCTGTATTGATGCATAATGTACTAAAGTAACCCTCTCTTACATGATAATTAAAGTACTAATGTATTGGCTTTATGTTAATTAAAACAGCATTGATCATTTAAGACAAACAATGGTAAAAACAAACAAACCTATAGTAATCAGACAAAATGATAACAATATGAATTCCTCATAGGCTTCCAACAACTGTTTGTGCTTTCTCCCTCTGCCATGATTAGCACTTGCCACTAAATAAAACTGTTAGGGAGTCTGTAAACTCATATCCAGTCTCTCATTCCCTATGCCGCCGACATGGAACTGTGAGTGTTGCCTACAATACAAAAACAAGACCACGATGAGTTGTGGATGCTGGGTAGTGGATTATTGGGCAGGGGACAGGGACAGGCTCACTGTCTAGCTAGATTTGTCTCACAATCCTAGTCTTTTGGGAGGTTAATTTGAAAGTTGAGCTTAAACATTTTTGGCGCATTTTCATCCCGCTCTGCTGTTTTTCCATCCAAGACCCTGTCGGCCAGACAGAATAGTGTATAAGCGAATTTTGAGACCCTTCTGTATTTGGCTGAGAAAATAAACAGTAGATTTATGTTTTTCAATTCTGACTTTGCAGTGGTTTTAAAAATAGATTCAGGACACTGTAAAATCCAGTCTATTCGGGACATGGGCCCCATTGGCCTGTGCCCAGTTGTTATTACTCTGTCAGTTAATGCTGTCTGTTGTATATATGCCTAGGAGTTGGCTGATTTTCTGCAGCAGCAACTGCAGACATTGGCGAAAGAGAGTGCCAAGAACTCCCATGAGCTTGGGCAGGAGCTGGAGAAGGTGCTCACTGACCTGCATCAGCTCCAGGACTCTGAGACCCAACTTCAAAACCTGTTGGAGGAGATGCAACAGCAAAATCAGGAAAGAACCAGACAAGCAGAGCAACTGCAGGCAGAGCTCAACAGGTACGTCATGACACCACAGGCCTACAAGCAGGCTGAAATCCATATCCAGTGTAATAGTGTCAGGTTCGAAAGGGTACTGCCTGAACACCGGCAGAGCGCTTCTTATTCTTAGCGATTCTATAGCGATTGTTCTTCGTTATACAAGAGGATTGTATATGAAAGAAAAAAATAATCCTTTTGTAGGTGTCTCGTAAATGCTCCGGTTCTAAGCTTGAACAACGTCCGTGAACGTGTGGGGATCTTAAATAGCAGACGCGCCGCAGAGTAGGGAGTGCAGTGGGAGGTGTGCTTCAAATTTAAAAGAATTCTGTTGCATGTAGATTAAGAAGATCACTTTTTTAGCCATATACAATTTCTTGCATTAGGAATTTTTCTTTTTGCATACCCCAGCTTTCTCTCCATGAGATGCACAGGCACACAGATGGGGAGAGAGAAGCTTAGGGTCAGAGCACAGGATCAGCCATTTATACAGCGCCCCTGGACCAATTGGTGTTAAGGGCCTTGCTCAGGGGCCCAACAGAGTAGGATTTCTCTACCAGCCATGGGATTTGAACCAGCAACCTTCCAGCTTCAGGCACAGATCCTTAGCCACAGTGCCACCGCTCCACCCAAGGTCCCTTAAGGACCTAAAATAAGAGATACTGTAGGATGTACTGGCTTCTTGTACGGGGGAAAAGCTGGCATGTTCTTTCCGTTTCACTGTGTATCTCATCCTTTGGGAACAGATTTCGCAAGCCCACCAACTTCATCAGGACAAAAAGATTTCTAGTAATGGACTCATAGAAATAACAGATACCTTTTTTACACAAAGAGTTGTCAAATCTGAATAAACCACCTTGAAATGTTGTGAAATCGGATCCTTTATAAACATTCAATATACTATATGGCCTAGTGATGCTCTTGCAATAATCAGATAGTAGCCATCTACAAGCATAACGGGTTTAACAACATAATTTCTTGTTCACATTTCTTGTTAACATGTCTTGTTCTTTTTTATATTCCTTTGGTTTATGTCCTCTTTGATTTACAACATTCAGTGGATAGACTGTAATAGATCTAACATTTCTGTTGATTAAGAAACATCTGTCTGTCAGAAACAAGGACTGACTAAAACAATGGAGTTTGTTGTTCAGTTACAGAAACTGCTGGTCCTGGAGATCATTGTAGAGCTTTGTTCTTTCCAGGAATCTTACATTGTAGAGACAACACAAAGTTTAATTTTTAAAACTTTGCTGAAAGAGTGATTAATGCTGCATTCTCTAGGTGAAAGGCATTTTTTTATATTATATTTTTTAATAAAATTATTAAATTTTACCACTTCATCCAAGAGGGGAATTCGACTTTCAGTAAATAAATTTAACAGCAACTTTTCCTTGGTAATATTCAATATCTGTTAGAATATTATTTTTACAAAACATTGCAGATTATGAGAAAGTGTGAAAGGACAGGAAACACTCCCACTAGCCTTCTCCCAGGTTACTTTTGACAGTTCTAAAACCGATGAAAATATTCAGAGGATATCTGAACACTGTTCTTTCTTTCACAGCATAGACATATTTTGTTAGACATAGAAAACAATATGAAAACAATACTACATAAAATTTAAACCTACTTTTTAGGCTCTTGAATTCTGGTGCCGTTCTACAGTAACATGGCAAGAATTTAAAATTTTTTAAAAAAAATTTGTTTAATTTTTAGGTTTTGATACGCATCAAAAAGAGTTTTATGGCTTTAAAAGTATTAGCATGGTGCTTCATAAACAAGAAAAAAAACTTATAGCACAAAATGAAGACTAAAAATTCTCTAATACTCATTATAAATATTAAGCTCCTTTCTATGTCCTTTCCATTCCTAAAGTTGATACCTTTCATATAGAAAATAAATTGTGTTAGTCCCAAATTGATCAGATGAAACAAAGGTTTAAAGTGTTGAATTAATGTTGTTTTCCAATTTTTTTTCTCAGCTTGTAAGAAACATATGAAAGATTTCAAAATACAGCCTAAACATCTGCTGGCATTTGTCTTTTTAGGAATGCAGGATTTCTAGCAATATTAGGTTCAACTGTTTTATACTATATACATACAAAAATAATGAGTTTTCACCTTTTTTCTATTTACAGTAAAACCCAGGAGCTGGATGAAGAGAGAAGTCTTCATGCAGAAATTCTGAAGCAGATGAGACAAAAGAACCAGGGGAGTCTGAAAAAACTGCAGGTGACAGTGATTCAGTTCGAGTCTTTCTGTGAGCAGCAGAAGACCTGGATGCACTGTGTGAAGAGGTACAGCTATAGAAAAAAGATCTAATTCCTACAGGGAGGTTTATCATTGTTTGTTCCTGAAGAGGTGGTCCCTTGTTTTATTATCGTTATTACTAATTTTCCTAATACCTTTGTCCAAGGCAACTTATATGTATGTGTGATTCAGAAAATATAATCACCAATGTTAAACTTACAGGTAAAGTAGAAAAGTTATGCAGTGCAATACCTGTATATTAAACATGGCACCACAAAAACTTGCGATCATTTACACTGTGAATCCTAAAAGCAGTGCTGATATGGAAAATGGGTGTAGGATTATGCTACTGAACTCTTCTGAACAAAGAGGGAAAAAAAAAGGTACTCAGGATTGAAATCTCTGTAGAGGGCAGTATTGAATGGCACATTTGTGGCAATGACCAGTAGTTTCTAAGCAGCAAAACAAAGACAAAGATTTCTGAAGCTATTATTTACATTTTTCATCTAAAGGCTATACTATATTTGTCTGTGTTGTGTAATTCAGGAAGTGTCTTAAAATGTTAGTGAATACTAAATAGAGATAACAGATGAAAACTGACATTTTTATTATTAATATAAAAACTTTCATAAAAGAACAAAAAGGTTTTTTCTTATTATACAAACCATCCTTAATACTTTGAACTTTTGTCTTATCTCCACCCTGCTCTTTCTCTTTAAAACAACTGTGTGGCTTACATTTCATTTTCTTCTTGAAGCACTTGCTGTTTCACTTTCTACACTGTGGCTTATGTTTGGCACTCTAGACTGCTTTCCACTGTGTACCTATTTATTTTTCTCTCAGCTTGTGTTATCTCCCTCTCCATGAAGTTGTGGATCACTTCATTCTCCTTTCAGCACTGATCAACCTAAGATTTCTGACTCTGCTCACACCTTGTGATCCTCCTGCTGTGCTACAGCAGGTCTTCTGGTTATGCTTTCATTCTTCTCCTTATTCTCTCTCCCTAGGTGCTCTTATCTCCACTTATGAGCTCTCATATAATTTTTATGATGATAATGCTCAAATATTTATCTCGTTTCTTGTCACAAATTCTCATGTTTCCTTCCAACTTTTTACCTCTTAGCCATCTCCTTCTGGACACAATCTTATAATTTTAAACTCAGCCTCTCAAAGTCTGACCTTTCTTCCCCACATTGAGACCACTCCATGTCATTTCCTCTAAACCCCACCACCTCCCTATTTACCTCTTGGTGGTCTTAGTGTCACCCTTCTATGACACTCCAAAAATACATTGTGGGCCCTGGCTTGTTGCAGCTTTCCATTTTTTTCCTGTGAACATTTCTCAGAATCTGGTACTTCCTTACTGTACCATTACTCCACACAACTCCTATTCTAGACCTTGGCTATTCTATTCTCCTGCCTAAACTTTTGTAATTCATTCGTGTCAGGACTCTCTGTCAGTGGACTTTACCCAATCACCAACTCTGCAGCTTGTCTTGTATTCCTCAATTTCTTCCATTACTTCTGTCCCTATACTGACTCCCTTTTGCTACTGATTCAAACCCTAGTTCTTAGCTACCACTGTCTCAGCTACTCTGCTCCCGCCTAGTTTCAGTGTCATGTCAAGACCCACTCCCTCCTTCTCCACTTCTCCTCTTCCAGAATTTGTGTGCTCCCTGACAATTATCCCCTCAGTAGTGAAATGAACTACCCACAGTAATCAAAACAGTTCATTCCCTTTTGGTGCCTATGAAAGAGTCATTTGTTTACACAGCACCTGTGATCTCTCAACTGTCAGCTACAGTCTTCAGCTACACTGTATTGCACTAATGTTTTTAATTCTCAAATTGGTTATGTAACTTGGTAATTGCATTTAGGGTAAACAAAGTATACATGCCTACAGGGTGTTTACATTACTACTGTGTATCCATGCAATCCACATACTGTTTTGATTTTAATTACTTCTTTTGATTGTGTGGCACGTGTTATTCATCCAACTTTTGCTAGGCTCTTTGCCATTATGTAAAATTTTTGACCCCTCATGATTGTTCCTTGTACATACACTCAATGACCATATAGCAAAAATAAGGACATTGGGTAAACAAATCCAGTAATATAATGTTTCACAACCTTCTATAAAGTTACGAACAAGAGAAGGACATTTGCCCTACTGAGCTTGAAAAATTAAAGATGTTTCAGAATATCTTAGCTCTACAAACTTAAAATTCAGAGGAAAAGCAACTACATCACAATTTTTAGAATTTAGTTTTTACTTATTACTTGCATTTTGCCTATCTTTGAAATTACGTTCTCTCACTCAAACCTGAAAAAGGCTCAACAGCTGGAATTTTGTGCTAAGTCTTTCTACTTTTCAGCATGAAAATTAACATTTATTTTGCCAATTATTAACTACATTAAGGTTTAAGGATTGTATGTCAGAAGAGAAGGATGCCTTATGGAGAAAGATCAACACTATGGAAAAGCAGCTGCAGCAATTCAGAAGGATTATGCAAGAAAACACAAAATACAAGGCCTTTGCATCCACTGCAGCTGAGACAGCCAATCAACATTATGACAGGTAAGAATAGTACTCTTGAGTGGAGATTCTTAAATATCTGGAATGGGTCATGAACCTTTTATAAAATGAACCTCTCTAAGCCTGTATCTGGTATTTTTCTATGTATGCCAAGAATCAAGAGAAAAACAAATCAACTGATTTATAATTTAAGTTGTCATTAGGATCAGCCCATAGGGAGGACAACTAGTGAGGTTCCAAGACTTGGGTAGTTTGACTGGTAGACCTTTAAAACCTTTGGGATTTAGCACTACACACAATTGGTATAAGAAATTAATATCATTTCAAACAGTCTAAGAAGACAGGACAACTGTGTCAAGTCATGCAGAATACACATTACAAGATGCGTATAGTAAACAGAGGCTGTCTTAGTGGTTCTGGAGCTCTGGGCAGAAGTCAAGGATGAAGCCCCCCAGACCACCTTTAAGAATAAAGTACCCACTTTTCACAATGCATGTCTTTTCAACAAAGTACCGCAGTTTGTTGTGATTTCACTCTATTTACAGAAAATATAAATCTACTACTATAAAAAAGAAACTGAATGTTATTAAAACAATGTAATGACTCCAGATTCATTTGACATCTCAGTGTGAGGGATCTATATTGGGATTGAAAAACATCATACTCTAGCTATAACTTGGAAAGACCTAGATGAGGTAGAAATGCTGCTGTTTTTGTGACATTGTTGATCTCATAAGAGTTTTGATTAGTTTTAAACAGGAACAGCTTCTCTATCCTTAGGAAAAAGTCACTGGGATGGTCAGGAGAAGTCTCAAGGCAATGTATAAGATGGCATAAAGGCAGAGCACATTTTCTATGTATGTGTAATTCTCTGTAATACTTGCATTGTTTTCTTTACACAAATAATTATCTGTAATGGTGTGTTTGTCTTTTTACTCACATGCTTGCACATGACTTGGCTATTAGTCTAATCCGGTGAGGGTTTCCATTATGTGAGTCATGGACCTTTTCTGAATGTCATTGGAAGACATGAAAGACATCGGAGACTTGATTGCATTCAGCTAAATGACACATAAGGACAACAAGTCAAGATGGATTTCCAGTATCTCTGTTCAAGCATTAACATTTCCTGGCTGGTCTGTCATTTGCTGTGCCTGTGTTTAATCTAGTCTGTAGATGGCACCAGCTCTGTGTGTTTTTTATGTGAACTCTGGAACAAACGTAGTCATCAAACAGATGGCTGGACAAGCATACTCCCTTTTCCACAAACATCTACTGCAAACAGAGCACTGAATCAGTAGACTGAGAATACACTGGCTTTGTCCAAGGGATTTTCTCACCATTTTTCATGGTAATAGTTTCTGGTAAATCTGGGTTGAACCAGGTCATCGGTGTGAGGACAATCTACATGTGGAATCTGGACTGGCGCTCATCTAACAATGTCATAACATTGTTGGTCACTTTTGAGGTTTTGAGGCCAAAGTGCCTGGTGGTCTGAGAATATCTGAGTGCAATTTACAGCAAGTGGCTGAGGAGATCCAGATCTGGCAATTACTGCAGAAGTGTCACCCACGGCAGGCATAAAACCATCTGTGAGCCTTGAATCTGTTGAATGATAGTCCCTCTCCCTCTATAGTGACAGTTTTGCTGCTGGTGGTTTCAGCAGATGCTTCTGCTGTAGAGTACCCTCAGTAGGAACAGTGAGGCTGGGGTTTGTTGCTGATGGTCCTTCTTCCTCTGAGGGCCTCTGTAACTGCAGAGCTAATGTTACTGTAGCATTCTGCTTGCCACCAGTGGTTTCAGCTGACTGCTGTAATGCTGCTGGCACTGTTGCTTCATTCTCATTTTTACTTTTGAAGAAAAGAATAACTAAACTTTCATGTACTTTCTTCTCCTCTTTTTATTTTTCTTGCATTTGTCTACCCCACTTGGATAATTTCATTTCATTGCTCTCAGCTAACATTGCCAGGTTTCACTATTATATAATGTTAGTGAGATTGAGGACGAGTGGGTCTTATTTTTGGAACACGGAGTAACAGCACGACCTAGATTAATAACGTGTGGGAGTTATTAAAAAAATACCACCTATATGAGCACACTTTGGAATAGCTCAATTGCGAAGGGCAGGTAGACATCTGGAAATAGTTGTTGTTGGAATATTTTGCTATCAAAGAAAATTGAAATAGGTGAAAACATCAGAATTGTCATATTATTGGATACTTCATTAGGACATATACTATATCATAATCTGTACCATCCAGACAACACCCCTCTCTCCTCCACCCAGCTCAGGGTCCCGCCTAATTGCCCAGACTACCCCATAGGTAAGACTGCCTCTAAAAATAAGATGTACAATAAGCAATACATAAAATAACAGAAAAATGCTGATGATAGTTGGTACATTGAAGGACCAATATAGATTTCCTTTGTAAAACCTCTCCTCTTACCACAACATAAATTTAATGTCAGGTGCATTCATGTGTAAAAAGATTAAAAGAGAGGCCATTGGAGAGAAAACGAAAAAGCTTCTTTGTTTTCCTTTTTATCGTGGCCTAACCAAACATGTCTTAGCCAAGAAGGTACAAAAACAATTTTTTACAATTCCTTGTGAACCATGTTGTGTGTTTTCATTTGCCTTCTACAGGCTCCCTATGGTGGATCCAGTCCTACTGGCAGAAGGGCAAGCTGAAATAAACAAATGGAACAGGACAGGAGACCTTTGTAAAAATGTTACGCCTCTTCAAGTTAGTTGATAATTCTGTATGGATTTAAAGTAAGAAATGTTTAAACAACTAACATTACTGCAGTGCACAGTGCAGATAAAGAGCTACTTTACTGCAGTCATTGTTTGTTAAAGAGGTTTGTATTGAAGGGGCACAAGGGTAAAATAGCATTTCCCTTCAGAGACTTTGAAGCCACAGTCTTCCAGTTACAAAGTTTGGTACACACGGGTGCTTAATTTGGAACCCTAAGTACTACTCCATACTGGTACTTCAAAACAATTCTATTAGAAGGTCTGAAAGATAATATTATTCAAGTGTCTCAGAGTTTAAGAGAGAGATATATAATTTCAAAAACGCACAAGCAAGATATCTTCCTCCTTAAACCTTCACTTCAGAGAACTGGGATTCCAATAACAGTCTAGTTAGAAACAAAAGAAATAAGCAACTAAGTACTAAGAAAAAAAGAACATATTAGAAAACTTACCAAGTAAATTTCAGAACCAAAAAGAAATCAGAATTATTTGTTAAATAATATAATATTGCATTTCCCTCAAGTCTGTTTTATATACACAAAAGAGAATTGTCCAGCTGCAGTGGCAAAAATATGAAAATGTAGCCATAATTTCCAAGTGGAAGATTTTGTTTTTTTGTAATACCAATATATTATCTCCATATTTGATTTATTATTCTAACTTTCACTATATTGAATATTAAGCTGGTAAAGTTCCATAATGGTTAATGACTGCATCAGGAAATACAACTGGTCCTGCCTGCCCTCTTATATTATAAATTACTCGTGGCTTTTCTGGATAATAGTCACACCTTGTGACCTAAAATTTCCTTTTTTCATTTTTTTCACCAGGAGACAAATGCAATCGATGGACATCAAAAACCTCCCTGAAGACATTTTGGCTGAAGTTCTTTCTTTCTACTGGGAGATTTATACATACCTTTGGGCCATGTCTTAGGTCAGACTGGCGACGAAATTCAAAACCTTTGCATCTTAGTTCGTGTTTGGTTGTTGTTTACCTGCTTTGAAATACATCTGTATCTAATTGTCTTTCTTTTCAGAGGTTTTTAAAATCAGAGCAACAAATGTGGTACTTTCTCAAGTGTGGGGATGATGTTTGTTTTGACTAGCTGACCAGAACTATTTTTAACCACATTAATAAGGTGGAAAATGTTTAATGTGCAAGACAGACATTAGATCAGACTCTCAGACTAAGAAGTAACTACTTATTTTCTTTCCCTCAGTGTTAAAAAGAATTATGGGGAAAAGTCACTTAGAAAAATTACATAAACATTACTTGATTCAATATGGACAGTACAAATGTTTTCATTGTTACATTAACATTTCAGGATTCAAGAAATGTGGCAGTGATTCCAAGTGAACTGTTAGATTAGAAAGTTGAACAAAATAAGTATTGAATTCCATTCTCTGTTTTACCTTGGAAGATTCACCCCAGTATAGTGGCATTTCTACCATGGGTTTAGTGATGATTTCCTGTGGTTTCAGCATTACTTCACTGGACCATGGGAATACCATGCTATAGTTAATATTTTGTTAAAGTATTTATCATGGCATATCATGGATTTCTTATAGTCTAGCTAGCATATTAAAACTGAACACATGATATTAACATAGTAATAATGTCACAACTATGCTAAAAACACAACAAAAGCATGGTAAAAATACAAAAGCTGATCATACTGTAACGCCCTCGCCTGGTGGTGAGGAGGAAGCGCCCCTAGGCGCTCGTAGTACCACTGGGCATGCTGGGAGTGGTAGCCAGGGAGAGTCTGAGGGTCACCACAATGACCAGCGGCTGACCCTACCTGTGTAAATGATGTCCTAGTAGTTCTAGGGCCCTGTGTAGTCTTGTAAAAGTATAGCGTGTTGTTAAGTAATTACCACCCTAAAGATGTGTACGTGTTCCGTCAGTCTCCTCATGTGCATGTATATCCTGTGTTTGGTTATGTGTGGTTGTTAATGAATAAAGCTAATGCTTGGTTTGTTAATCGTGTCTCCACTGGTCCTTTGTTCTGAAAAGAACCTGTAAATGCTACAATACTATTATCAAGAGATACCCAAATTACACCTGGATTTAGTTTATCCACTTTCTATTGCCGTCCCAGGTGGGGGACAGTGCGTGTCAGATGTTTTTAATGCCAAATCTTCTCTGAAATATGGTCCAAATTTATTACTTTTATCCAGGTATGTAATTTAGATACTGTATCTTATCCTTAATTGTAGGTGGGGTATGCATAATATGCATATTCACACTCCTAATCTTTTGAAAAATGCCATGTGATCTTTAATGACCGTATAGTCAGGACTTCAATTTAATTTTATCAGAGAGTCACCTGCCCTCAAATCTAGACTCAAAACCTTCTGTAGAAGGGACTTTATTTAACTGGTTCTGTTTTATATCCATTTGCTCCTACCGTATTCTCCACCCCTATCTATTTTTTCCTTTCATTGTGTATTTTCATAGTAAATATCTTGTGTATTTTTTTGTTGTTGTCATTCTGTAAATTGCTTTGATTAGCCACCTTTAAAGGCACTATATAAAATAAAGTTATAAATAAAGTTAACAATAATACTAATAATAATTTTTCATCTAGACTCTGGACCCTTACAGTACAGTGTCCCTATCACCAGATTTGATAATTACTGGTCCATGAGCTGGTGCAGAATATTGTAATATGCTTTGTGGTTTGGGTTGGTGATGTTTTTTAGTTAATAAATATTATGTAAGCAGTAATAGCTGAGGAGCAACAGGGAGTAACAGCAGCAGATTGATACCATGACTAAGACTGATATTGAGTGAATCAAATGGTCTTGGATTCAGACTGTAGTTATAGCCAATTAAAGAGAGCTAGCCTTTCTTTTGCATTATGAGTAAATTCATTCACAGGCCATAAAATCTGTCATTTTCCATATGTCACAAAAGAATTTGACAATAATATGTCTGCTAGATCTATTGAATATTCATTGATCCTGTCAAGTGGAATTGTATTTTATATTTCTAGTGAATGATAATTTAAAATACAGAGTTTGCCTACTCATTTCTACACTCCAGTAACATCTCTAAAAACTATTCATAACTTAGATATGTACACCCTGTATCATAAAATGTAGGCTCTCAGATTAGGCTCTCAGGAAAAGAGTGTTGTTGGTCAGATGGGTCAGGCAACAGCATTCTTGTGTTTGCCATTAACCTGGGATCACCTTAAGGTGAGACTCATTACTTTGAGTGGAAGCAGGTTAAGTGTCAAAAGACAGACAAAAAGAGGTTTCCATCTTTAAAACACAACTTTATCGATTCCTGTCTTAGACCCTACAATCACAACAACTTTTGTAGCATTTCTGTCTATTAGTTCTGTCTTCTAGGTCAGCTAAACTCAATAATATCAGGTCAAGCACTGGACATAAAACTAAACTAAACAAGCATCTTATCTGTGACAGGTCTTGTAAATAGACTATACTTTTAACAGGTAAGATATTTATATAATCACAACAGTTACAGATTCTTATACCAAAGCTATGATATCATCTTGACAAACTGACAACAATCCAAAGTCATGTACAGCAGTTTATAGGTTTATATTTTTCTTTAAAAATGGATAATACTTAGAAAGGTTACTTCATACTTATTTTATAATTATAAGGAGACAAATTCTTATGAAAAATAATACCAACAATGGTAAAGTAAAACTAAATACTTCTTTCTAATTCTAATACAGAATTAGATACGTCTAATTCTAATAAATAACCATCTCCCAGTTATTCAGAACAAAGCAGCATATAACTCAAAAGTAAATAAAATGATTGTGCACCACGATAACCTGCAAAGTCAGTTGTGAAGATTACCTTATTTTCACCTGAAATCCACATTGATTCATTGTGACACCACTCTGTTCTGTGTTTTTTGCAAAACAAGTCCAGAGCATGAATGGAGAGTACTTTTACATTTTTGCCAATATAATTATATGATTTTCCACTTTGGAGCACTTTACAGTAAAATGAAAACAGAAGTTAATAGATCTAAACTCAAAAACTTTTTTCAAAAAAATACTTTTTAGATTTCCAAACACACAATTCATTATATCTATGGGCACTGGAGGAAATACTGGTGTCAGAAGTTAAAGAACAGTGGTGACTTTGTTGCCTCATGCAGGGAAAGTATTTTGAAGGGATAATTAGAGGTTGTGCATGGCAAAGGTGGTTATAGAGGCTCATTAAAGGAGCATTTTTGTGTTTATTTAAATGAATTCTTATATATTTCTGTAGCAAAGAAATGCAATGTGTATGACTGGTATGAATTCTGATAGCTGGGCCGATTTGCACACAATTAACCATCTGCTACCAATCATGTTCAACACAAGCTATTAAAGGAAACTTTGGGGATTATTAATAACTCAGTATTCTCAGACCACACTGCACATAGTTTCAAAGAAACAGAATGGTAATTTAGCCTTAACAATGACCAGTAGATGTTTTTTTGCAGTATTTAGGACTATGAGTCTTAATTTACAGTATCCTGAAGAAAAATGTCACTTTAATTTTATTTGTCTAGTATCAAGCAATGTTAATCACAACATTAATGAGCCCGCTGTATTCAAAAACCAGCAGTGTGATTAAAGAAGGTTCTGATTAGGTTTGCATGTTGACATTTTACAAGTCTTATAAGGATCCAGGGGCAGTTTAAGCAGTTGTCCTAACATCCTCTAAACATACTGCAGTTTCCAACTTTTAATAGTGACAAGTCAGTGGACATAAAAAGCGATAAACTGGCTGCACTCTGCTTTATAAGAAAAAGTTCAGTTTACAGCTGAAGAAAAATGTTGTAATGCTGTTGTCAACCACTGAATCCAGCTTGGTCAAATTTATTTGCAGATGGAAATGGGTTTATGAAAGAATTTAGTGGTGTTTATAAAAGTGCTTCCAATGGTTTCAGAAGACACGAGGGTAGGTGGGGAAATTAACTTGATTTTTCATGCAAAGCTTTCTTAGATGCTATGTAAAATGAGAGGTTAGAGGATTTTATAGTATTTGGTCCTTTACTTTTTTCTCAAACAATATTTTGTGATACTTTCACCACTGAATGCAATTATTTTGCATGGGAATTTATTAAATTATTTTTATGCATTTTATATGCATTTTCTTCAACATAGCAAACAAGAAAAGCTGTTTTTTGTTTCTAGCCAATTTTATAATCTGGGGTTAGTTAAACTCAGTAAGAATATTGACTGTATTAAAATATGTAGTTTAGTTTACTGACTACTGGTCTACAGCTGGTTGTGTAGAATGGTTTCCAGACATCACACAAACACAAGGCACTGACCTAATTCTAAACCATAAGGGGAGAGTTCTTGTAAAGTCTGTTCAAGCACATTTTGTTTTTCCTTAGAGGTCAGTCAGTCACTGACCACTTGATCTGTTAGACCCCAAGCTCAGGGGTGGACTGGCTGCAGGTCATAACTCCATGAGCTGGAGACGAAACAAATTTGTGTATTTATTTACAAATGAAGACTAGTGAAACCAAAGGCTATGTAAAGAGAGACCCTTTAGACTGCAAAAAGAGTAACATTAACCTATTAGGGTTCAATTCTTGGTTCTTGGAACAATTTATTTAAAATTCAAATACTTTCTTAAAATTTGAAGATAATCTAAAAAATATTTCGAAGCTGTCAAATGTGGTAATAATTGTGCATATTGATACATTTCTTCATTCAATAGTTTGACAAGATTAAATATTTTTTAAAGATAGGTACCATGCCACTTCTTTCTTTTTAATGAAGAACATCTCTTGAATATGTTTGGATAGGGAAATAGTATGCACACTCTTGAATTTAGAATTCAACCTCTTATCTCAGCTTTGCTAATATGGTTAAACAGACATAATAAAAACTCATGGTTTAAAACTATGAAACTGAGCATTTTAACTAATAAATTTTAACTTCCACTAAACACTAAAAGTTATCTAAACTCTTCTACAAAGTGCTGTATTATGTAATTGTATTCAATTTAAAATAGTAGCATTTATCACTCATGGGCCTTGTAACAAGGTATAAGTGTATAGCTAGTAACAGTCTAATTTTTTTAAAGTCCTGTCTCTTCTTTTCAATATTTGTCTGCGTGACAGAAACTAACATTATATCTGTAAGAGACATAAAAGTGAAATAATACTTGTTACCCAAAATTAAGATTTATTTAATTATAAGGTCCTGTTCGTTTCAATTTGATATACAATTTTACTGTTTTTTTTAAATGTATTGATCACATTTAGTTATTACCACCATTTCATCACATTGAGTTATTACCATCCTAAGAAAACAGTGATTTTCAATCAACTAACAGAAATAGGAGAAACAGTCTTACCACTAGAGTTTTTCAGAATCTCATATTTAGAAACCGAGAGCACACAATGTTTCCCTTTGGGAATAAGCTTCAATTATATGTATTCTATATATTGCATTCAGGAACTCTAGCCTCTTTTTTCAAATCAGGGTTTTATCTGTAAGCTGCTTTTCTATACCCAACCTTAAAGTAACAAACAACATGACTACAGTGGAGAATCCATTGCTTCCTTCTACATGAGAATATTTCAAGTGAAGTTGATATTATGGCAAAACAATAAATCAAAGAAGGAAAATAAAACCCTTTACCGTGCATTTATGTGCATAGTTTTTCAGTGTGGCTGCTGTGTAAATGTATGTAAATATGA